AACGTCTTGATTCTCCACGTAGCATTGTACATAGCACCTAATCAACGCTCCTCTTTGAGCCCTCGACCTCTCGCGTGTAGCGCTATCGTGACACCTATATATTACACCCTTTTCTTTAGAGCTATCTTTCTTGCGTGCTATTATTTATTATATAACTGCGCTTAGAATATATATAGTTTATTGCGCTCTGCGGCGTATTAGTATAGTATTATCTATTTCTTATTAAGGGTCCTTTACTAGGCCCTCTTTTAAACAGTATATTTAGCACTATATAATAGGTGGTTTCTATTACAGTTTACGCATTTCTTAATAGTTTTATCCGGGCACACTTTTATATTATACTTACCTGCGTATACTGCGCATTTAATATTCTTTTTATAGTACTTTATAATATACCTATAGCCCTAGTAGTTAAAGCACTATATAGCTATAAATTCTGCCTTATACTTTAAGGCGTTAAGTATATAGCCTCTCTAAGCGATGCTGTTATTAATAGCGTTATTTGCTATTGCTTCTGTTTATACGCCTATAATAGCCGAGCTTACACGCTATACTAGGTTTACCCGCACTACGGTAATAGCTGCCTTATTCTTCTATATAATCTTGTTAATTATAAGTTCTAAGTTATAGATTGCGTTGTTTTCTATTATATCCTTCCGTAGACTTAGGTTGTTAAGGTCCATCTTTTTAGGCACGCTGTGTACTTTAATAAGCACTGTAGGCGTGCGTATAGTAGCGGAGGAGCCTAGGATAAGAACCTAATCCTTCTTCTTTAGGAGGGCGTTTTTTAATAGCTTATCCGCAATAATTGCCTTAATATCACCACTTTATAGCTTCCTAATACCACTAATTTTTGTGGTTTCCGGCTCTCCCGCCGCTTGTAGCTTTTTTGTAATATAGTTGTTCGTGTGTGTCGCGTTAGCCGCTTGCTGGGCGTTGTTTTCGATGTGGATGTTGATTTTGTGGAGGTTGTTTGTTGCATCCTGTCCAATTCTCGCGTCCTGTCCAATTCGTATAGCTTGCCCGATTTGCATTGCCATCGGGGCCTTCGCTGCTGCAGCTGCGTATGTCTTTTTTCCTTGAGCTTTCAGCTCGCTAATACTCTTCCTTATATCCTTCATCTCCTTTATTAGTTCCTTTTATAGCGCGTCCTTCCGTTCGTCTATAGTTCTTTATATACGGTGGAGTCCTTTCTTAGCCTCCGTAAGTCCGAAGAACGCGTTGTTAATGCACGCGACTATAGCCTGGAGGAAATCCATGCTAATAGCATTAAGGGGCTGACTCCGTAGGGCGCTTTGTATTTGTTGTACTTTATTAAGTGCGCTTACGACGCTTCCGTACGTGTCGAGGAGGGGCTTTTAGTTGTATTGTTGTTGTGGGTGTTGTTGTTGTTGTTATTGCGAGTGCAATCTAAGGTTAGGGGTCGCGGGAAAGATTTGACCTACTGCGACACCACCACCACTGCCCGGAGGGCTTTGTAATTGCGTACGATTGCTCTAAGTGCCTTAAGGAGCCCATTAGGACTCCCTTTAGCTTCGATTTCCAACGGCTTATTAGGACGACTGCATCGTGTTTTTTTTTTAGCCGAGACTATACCCCGGGTATTATAAAGATAACTAACAGAATCCTTAAAAAATGCAAAATATAGCTAGTACTAATACTAGCTAAGTTCTTTACTAGGTGTATATATATAGGGCACTACCTATAGCCGTATAAAAAATTAATTACTATAGTACTATATAAGCCTTAAAAAGCGTTCTATAATATAGTAAAGTTATATAGGCTAATTATACTACTAGAAATAGTAGGTAAGCTGCTTAAATATATTATAGTATAAAAACTATCTAAAATAGTAGAGGAGAAAGGTATGCTTCTACTAAGCTAAATAGGCGTAAGGCCCGAATAATCTATATAGATAGCACTAAAACTTTTTATAGAATAAATATAAACTATATAAAAGGGTAACTTTTACCTTATTATTTTCTTTTTTAGCCTGGATATTTTAAAGGCCTTTAATAAAGTATTTTATAAGAAAATAATATATAACCTATAGGTTTAATATATACCGGAATAAATAGTCTAATTTATAGAATTATTCCTATAAAACTAAACTATAAAACTTTTTATTAGAAAATATATTACTAAAACTATTCCGGTTAATACAGGTATACTATAAAAATTCTTACTTTTACTAATCCTCTTCTTATTTTTTATAAGTATACTCCTGCCGGCACTATAAAAAGGTAATATAATAGCCTATAGGTTTATAAATAATACTAATATTTTTATATTTAGCAGAAGTATAGAAAAAAACTATAGGGCAATTAAAAGTATATATATATAGTATATAAAGTAGGTAAAAAAGTATAGTATAGTATTTACCCTAGATAAGTATTACCTTATATACTTTATAAGGCGCCGTTTAAATATAGTAAATATAAAGGCTATAGTAAATATCTAGAGCTTTATAAAAAGCCTAATTATAGAGCTTTATATACTTAAAGTTTAGGTAGACTTTAAACTTAAATAGGGCCCATATATATATATTATAAAGGAAAAGGCTATAGTATAAATAGAAGCTTTTATATAGCTAATAGTATTAATATAGGGCGTAAGCTTCTAAAAAGCATAGTATATATACTTAGTAGTTATTAGGCCGGTTCTTATATATAGGTGTACTATTTAGTTTCTAACGCTAGGTATAAAGAAATAAATTAGCAAAGCAAAAATTAAATAACTTAAAACGGCCTAGAACTACTGCTTTTATACTATTACAGGGGTGTATAAAATAATAGATATTAAAACGCTTAAATATAAAACCTTTTACCCTTTTCTAAAGCTTAAGCTAAAGGAACTTATAGTAGTATATATAAACTGCACGCGCGCAGGCTAGGCTAAAAAGTATATTAAAACTATATACTATACTATTAGAAATACTATTAGAAGATACTATAAGCCTAGGAAAACGCCTAAATATAAGCTAAGCCGGCGTAATATACTAAAGAAGCTCGCGGTTAAGGCTATAGCACTAGCCCTAAAGTATAAAGGGCAGTTAGATAACTTATATAAGCTCTTAAAATAAGAAGTAATATAGGAAGCGTATAAGGAAAAGTAGAGGAATAAATAGAAGGCCTATAGAAAGAAATAAAAGGGCTCTTCTATACCGGCCCTTAATATAAAATAGAATAAGAATTAGGTAACTAAATACTATAAGCTTATAAAAGTAGAAAGCTTAATTATTACGCTCCTATAAATAGAATATATAGGGCTTAACGTATACCTGCACTATATAAGGGTGCCTAATTACTTTTTACTTATATACCCCTGCAGGTATATACTATAGTCTCTAAAGTATATAGTAATATACTGCGAATAACACCGTAATAGTAGAGGTAATATGTTTTTTAAGGCTAGAATAAGAATATATATACAGCTATACAAAGACTATAAGGGAAATAAGGCTGTTTCGCAATAGTTCCTGCACTAGACAGACCTCCTACCCTACCTCTCTATAGCTAGAGAGATGGCAACAGAAAAGCTGGCTATACAGCCAGCCGACTTGTATAGCCACGCCCTAAGAACAGAACCACACGCACGCACGCACATTGCATAGCCACAGGCACGCCCGCAACAGGGCAACCCCCCAATTTCCTATTGTCCTTCAATTCAATACCTCGGCTTTTGAGAAAAAGGGCACGCGCGTACGGTAAGGGCACGCGCGCCCTAACGCGGACCCCGGACCTTACTAACCATCTGGACACCGTACAACCCTGGAACCTAGGGCCTACGGACACCGGATCGATCCTGGAGAATGCATCAAGATGGCTTACTCCGTGGCGATGCTCACAGAGCTGCCACGCGTCCCCCACAGCCGCGCAGAAACAAAAGGAACGCAAGGCGTTATACACTGTAGAAAACAAGGTTTTCACCCGACCGCTATAGAGCGAACGGTTTCCCCTTGTAAATAAAACCTAGATAGCACTGCCACATGGACCCTAACGGGAGCTAAATCGGCCTAATAGAACCTAATAATAATAATAAAATAGTGCAGATGCGTAACTTTATTAATACTTAAGCAGACGCGTATTAACAGGTTCGCCAGGTTATACTGGAAATACAGAAAATCTAACTGGCCGGTAGCTACACGGCTGGTCTTAGCTTTGTCAAAAGGCAATCTAATCTCCACTCAGTTGACCTTCACATTGTCATCAGCAATTCAAAAGCCTGTCGGTGTCACGTCGTTCCTCAGCATTCTCTTGGTAGTCATCGAGGCCTCGGATCATCACGTGCATGGACGTCACGTGATCCCGGGCCGAGGGTTCTTCCGGCGCCCGGAGTTCTGCCGGCGCCCGGGGTTCTGCTGGCTCGCGCTCAACTATATAGCAGGCCCGTGGCCGGAGCCTCTCTCCTCTCCACGCAACCTCGTCAATAGCAATACAACCCTTTTCCAGCCACGAACCTGACAGTCGGAGTACCCCAAGCAGTTCCGAAGAGTGCCCAAACTTGTACTTGGTGCTGTGGAACCTTCCATTGTCCTAAATGCATTGCAAAACCTTGGGAAAGATCGCATCGCATCCACTGATATAAGTGAGCCCAACGTCATCTAGTAACATGCTGATGTTAAAGGGAAGTATAGGACGGTCCTAACTAATAGTCCAGGCTGTACCGTTCTAAAAAAACAATATGCCGTCCCTAAACCTTCTCTAGCAACCGAAGCTTCACACATATTCATACAAAAGCTAAAGCTGCCATTCATGATCCAAAATCAAAGCTCTGGTCCAAGAAGCCATCGAAGCTCTGATTCAAGAAGCCATCAAAGCTCTGATCCAAGGAGCTACCAAAGCTCTGATTGCTCATGATGCTGTCTTCGCTGAGACCACCGGCGTTACCAAAGGAAGTTTCCACAGTGGAATCGCTGCCGAAGAAGTCTGGTGGCATTCCAAGAATGAACGCAAGAATCGCTACATTCGAGGTCTGATCCTCAGTAGGCAACGCGATGTCGAACTCTTGGTCGTTCTTCTTGATTTCTGCATTTAGGATATGCCTCGAGGCTTGATTCAGTGGCACAAGATCGAGGAAGGGACGTGGGGTGCGATTCGTGGGAGGTGGATTCGCAGGAAGTTTGGTATTGAGCCGCAGGGATGGAACTGGTGGAACTAGAGATCCGACCGGGTTGGCTTGAGATGCCGTCATGTCCTGCTGCGAGTATCCTGGTCGTCCAAAATGCGTGTCAAACAGGCTTTCTGCGTGAGCGTCTTGGTACATGTCCGGCGCAAACTCCTGCGGCGCTGGATCAGCCGGTGCTTCGCTAGATGGTTGTGGTAGAGGGTTGGTCTTCTTCCGGCTGGGCCTTGGCTTTGGGTTCTTAGCTTTCGGTTTCGGGTTCTTAGCTTTACGCTTCTTGGGTTGAGGAGCGGAAGCTGGAGTAGCATCTAGAACTGTTTGGTCTTCTACAGATGCCTGCTGATCTTCAGTAGAGACGTCTTCCGCGTCCCAATGAGGGAGGTAATGCGCGGGCATAATGACACCATCCTGTACCAGGAGATAGCGGTACGTGTGAGGGATACTGATCCCAAGGGCGGCTGCCTCTGCAACCACAGCATTCAAGGGCGGCTCTTCCTTGGTCTTTTTCCACGGGATGACGCGCGGGGTCTTCTTGATCGGCGTGACGGCCCTGCCCATCTGCTTGGCTTGCTCAGTTTGTCTATTCTTTTCCGCCTTGTTCCAATTGCCAATTCGATTCTCCTCTTTGCGCTGTTCCGGATGTTAGCTAATGCTCTGATTGAGATCAAAATGGGAAAGAATATTATTACTTACTCCGCGCCACGCCACCGGAGCATTCACAAATTGCTTTGTGGCTCTGTCACCAACTATGGCGACGAGTACCTCATCGCAGATTGACTTTTCAAACTATGTGCAATCAGTAAATGAAGCGTTCTGTAGCATGACATTCTACATACCTTCAATGCATAGCAGATGTTGATCATCCGCATGAAGCAGTTGAGGTCCTGGTCACGACGCGTTTCGCTCAGCACAGCTAGGTCACTGTGCAATTCGCAGCCCTTCTCGCAGAGATTCACCACCTCCATCTACACTTCGGTTAGTTAAGGTCTTACTTACATTGGTTCTGGGGCTAGGAGAAGGCTTACTATGATGTCGATGCAGGCAGCCTCTATATCATCTGGCTCGTAGTGTGTGCTGAGAACCAACTTCTTGTATCCTTGGCTAGTAGTGGAGTCCCTTACGTCTTGGCGATTCACCATGGAGTTATAAAGCAAGGCGGTCCACTGCGGCATTTCGGTAACAACCTGCTGGATGGTAGGGTCGTTCTTGGGATCGATGTATGGAGGTATCCTCCGGCTCTCTTTTCGGAAGTCCAAGGCATCTTTCGTGGTCTGAAAATTGGGTCGGTATGCTGGGAAACCAGTTGGTACAGCAGGGTCTTTTGCGCCCTCAGTGTCGGTGATGGTCGGCAAGAAGGATTCAGCTGCGTCCACATCCGTCCCCACGACGGTGCTGGGCGGTGTGGAATGGGTGACCGGGTTGCAGAATCCTTCGGTGGAGGCAGGATCATCTGGCTCATCCTCGAGCACGATTGCGTTGCGACCGCTAGTACCAGGAAGCTCAAGATTAGCCTGGATGGTTCCTTGATTCTGAGTGGTAATATTTTCTTCAAGACCACCGCTGACTGTCGTAGTATGCTGCTTGATGATGTTCGGATATTGTAGATCGGAAGGCAGAGGACGTTCCTGGGTGCCATGTGGACTCGGTCCACCAGCCACGTTCATGCCTAATGCCTGGAGGGGTGGGCAGATATTGCCCCGGACGTGTCTTGATGAAGCTATGGTTTTCTTTCGCCCACGTTGAATAGCCGCGTCGTCATCGTCGCCTTCGAACTTCCGCTTTTGTTGAATCATATTGCTGGCCGAAAAGACAGAAGACGAAGCTTTTCAGTGGTGAAGCGAGCCAACTAAGACAGGTTAGAAAATATTCCTTGTGAATTGGTGGTGTTGACGTTGAAGGCAAATCTTAGATATGCCTTGAGGGAATTACGATTCGCTTGAACATAATGTTTGGTCGTAGGTCGATGTTGTGGTGGAAGGGAATAGCGCGATGTGTAGTCAGTGAGCAGAAAGAAGAGTACGTACGGCTTGGAGCTGTATGGATTGGGCTTTGAAGTTGCTTGAGGCGCTGATGAGGGGGAGTTACTGGTGTGAAAGGACTAGGTGGTGGTGCTACAGGCTGTGTGTGTGCAGTCTGTGGGGAGCTGTGGAGGCCAGGAGGGAGGTGATTTTATAGAGGCCTGCCATTCGGGATCGCGGCGCCGGCAGGGCGAGTCCCTGGGAGTGAACGTAGGATTCCAGGCTGACGGAGTGGGTGGACAGGTCGCAAGTGAAACCAATAAAAGGTCTGCCCCGGATTTCTGGTGAATTCGCCCATGATCTATGACTAAACAGGCACGTCCAACGGAAAACTAAGTTTCGCGAGGGAGAACTCCTTTTTCCGTTCAACACTTCCCATATACAATATCCATGGAGGTTGCGATTGGACAGTGTGGAAGGCTCTTTACATAATTTCGAAATGTGATTGCTCGCCATGCTCCAGTATTCAATGATGAACACAACCATCAAAAACATATGAGGGGGGTTAGCAAAAATGCATAACTTAGAAGATCATCATTCCTAAGGAAAGGCAGAACAATAATCTGGGCTCACCTGCATGACGAGCTCTAACTTCCATCGCTCATGTGGGCAGTAAGCCAATGAAAATGCACTGTACCGTGTACGGTACAGAGTACAACGCCACGCTATTGGCCAGCGAGTGACGAGATGATAGGTTGAGAAAATTATTGAGTATGGACTTGATATACGAATGGTTTATGATAATCACAAGAAGAAGCGTACGTAGCCTAAATCAAAGTAGATAAGACTGTACTGATAGAGAAAAAGATGACGTGCGCTCGGCTTGCTCTGGAATGATACCGTAACGGCCAGCCTGAGTTTCAGCTTGTGTCTGGACTTTTTTTTTAACCCTAAAAAGGCGGGGTCTCTAATCAGTCCCACACTGTTGTCAGAAGAAAGACCTCGACGTTTAACGTAATTTCGAAACTTATAGAGACTGCACAGGTCTCAAATATTGCATTACTAGCGATTTTCCACGTCACTCTGTCCGATTTGCATGCGTTTGATGCAGATACACACTTGAGTTAGCTGGCCTTTGCGCGGAGAAGGGTGCTCATGATGCCGTATCTTTGCGTTCTAGCAATCAATTTAGCAATCAATTTCTACACTTCATTATCGTGTGTTGAACGCTGGCAGCTCAAGTAGTGGAGGAACCCGACTCTTTTTACTTCCGAACATCGACGGGTACCGGGCGTCGCGTGGATGAAAATTGGAACTAAGAAATTCCAACACGAGAGTGGAACGAATAAATTGTAACAAGAGGGACGTTCGAGATTCATCATACCAATACAGGCGTGTTAATGGAAGAGGTGATGGATGAGGTTGAAGTTAGGTGTGGAGAAGATCGTGCACCGGCACGCGACTGTTGAGTAGTTCTATCTGGCGACGGCCTCGTCGTCACGCGTTTGAGCTTCTTGGCTGTTATCATAGTCTTTTCACGGTGCTTTTGTTAAATGATGAGGACGCTTGGTTCTAATGATGAGGGATGAAACAGCAATGAGAGGCAGGAGAGGTCGGCCTTATCCTTGGATAAATCGTCCGTGCTGATGTCTCCCTAATACCTACGGACGACACTCCATGGGCTCCTAACCTAGAACCAGTTCATCTCTCTTACCTCCTTCACATAAAGAGTTCCACAAATCCTACGCGACCTTGGTACCCATCATCTAAAGAGGTAGCGAAGGATGCCGCGCGGCTTATACGCTTAGTTCAGCACGTGGATTTTTTTTCTAAACCTCCTCCACGTTCTCTTCTCCGGACCGAGACTCGTTGGCTTCTTCAGATCCTTCTTAGATCCTTCTTCACTAGTGCCTTGGATACAGACGTCATGCGAAAGTTCGAATTTGAGTTTGCACACCTTACGTCGAGGTTCTCTAGGCCGGACCCAGCGACTGGAAAGTCTACATGCACTCTCTTCGTCGTCTGTCTCGTAAAGACCACAGAAAAACAACGCGCCTCTATCCTAGAAGAGCTTAATACCTTCGACTATGAGTGGGAAGTTAGACCAAAAGTCGATGCGAGACCGATGGAAATCGTGCCCTGGATTCGAAATTACGTCCCTTCCGTATCGATCGTTTTTGATATCTCAGAGCAGAGACAGATTGGTGCCATTTTCGTAGATGCTCAGACACTTAGAGATAACACGGTCATTATCACAAACTCTTTCAAGAACTCACCCACAGACCAATGGGGCAAGGAGCTGGAGGCCGCGCGTGTTCCAGCCAGACGAGCAAACTTGACCATCTCGGACATTTGGTTGCAGCAAATCTCTCTATTTCCACAGCACGTACCCGAAGAGTGCCGAGTCTTGCGACCACCCAAGCCAGATCAAGGCTGGGAACTCGTCTCGAAGATAGATACCGTACAATGGAGTTTCCCGGCACATCTCCCTCCAAATATGAAACTAAGCGCATCTTCGCCAGTTTTGATATCTCTGATTCATCTATCCGACAACGAGATTAAGACCCTCACGAGTGAGATTGGTTTTGATCCTCTTTTAGAACCAGTACAGATCTACAACTGGCCTAAAGACGCGGTACCAGCCTCACGAGTCGACATGTGGCGTATTTTCGATCAAGTTAAACCTGAGTTCCTCGCTCCCTACGAACAAGTCTTCGGCTTCTTCATTGATTGCACCGACATGCACAGCATGGATAGGAAGCCTGAGATTATCGTCGTAGACCGTCGTCGGCAATCATCGACGAACGCAGCACACGAAAACATCATGAGACTCTTCAAAATACAGTCAGAGGATATGCTGTTCCTTTGGAAAGGTGCCTGGAATCCGACTGGCCGGGGGACACACAACGGGTGTCGTGAGAATGAGAGTATCAATAGGAAGATGTGGACATTCGAAGTCGTTGGAAACCCCGATGTTCCTACCATCGTTGGTACTAGACTACTTCCCGACCACATCCCCATCATCGACTAATGCAATTATAGGAGACCCATACCCTGTATTTCTGCTGGGTCCGATAAGTGAATACCAAATTCGCGCCGTTCGTGCCGCGCTGATGCAAGAGGAAGGCGAGTACCAGTTCATCACCGTTCCGAATGGCGATGGTACATTAGAAGGCCTAGTCCGCTACTTCGAGTCGCCAGAATTCCGGCATTATGAAGAGCCTCCTCATTTCTTCATCGCAGTCGATGAAGAGACTCTCGATGCACTCCCCGATCCACAAGAGGACGACGCCGAAAAGTGGAAACCAGGCGACTGCAGCGTCATCCTTGCCTCTGCAAGCGGCTGTACAGCGAGTTCTCCGTCCTATTCAGTGAGGGAATACCTCGGATACGGATACGGCAGAACGTCACTGGGTGGCTATGGTCCTCATTCTGCCATGAACAATCTAAGTACCGGAAACATGGACTTATTCGAGCTGATAGAGCCGGATGATGACGGCGAAGAAGACGAGTATGGGCAATGTAAGCCAAAGAAAGTATTTTGGTCAACGTTCACGCCTGGGGATGCTGTTTTGGATTACTAGCTATCGAAGACACAAGCCTTGCAAGGGGAATTTACTCTCAAAAGTCTGTATATGAATACTCTTCTCTCATTCTGACTACTAAGCTTAGTCCTACGAGTCTCGATCTCCACCCAACCAAGTCTCTACCAAGAAACCTCCTTCCCATCGTAGTAGTTCAGTCCCGTCGCATTCCCCCACCCCGCTTTCTTGATGTTGAAGAATTTCCCAGTATCTTCTTTCCCTTTCTCATGAACAATCTTCAACGTCGCCTCCGCGCCATCCGCCACGGGCAAATCCGCCCCCTCGCCTCCGAGATCGGTTTTGAGCCACTACATGCACTCGTTAGCCCCATCCAATATCACGTGCACAAACATCGCTACAGAATGTAGATTCAAGGGATGGTACAGGACATACCCCAGGACTCAGCGCAATAAACGTAAACCCCTGATCTTCGTACCCCAGTGAATACTGCACCGTTAGCATGTTCAGCGCAGCCTTAGTGACTGCGTAGGCGGGCGCAGGCGTCTGGCGGTAAGTCGCAGCGTGGGCTATCGAGCCGAGGGTTGTGGAGCTGTTGATAGCGTGAGTTTCGTATCTGACCCTTATTGATTCTAGCAACCAGGAAGAGAGGACTTACACGTTGAACACCTTCTTCTCCGTGCCCTTCTTCAACAAGGGAATAAAAGCGCTTGTGACGAGGTGCACGCTGAGCACGTTCGTGGAGAAGGTGGAGCTTAGGTTATCCCTGCGACCCGACAGCTCGTTAGCATCTCCAATGCAGCTGTCAAACTCACTCAGTTTTGCAGCATTACTCACATCGTAGCAACCCCACCCATAGAAAACGGCATCACGCCCGCGTTGTTGATCAAAATATCCAAACCCTTTCCGTTTAGATGCTTCTCGACTTGAGCGACAGCACTCTTGATGCTCTCTGGGCTCTCGGCATCTAGCTGAACGTAAATCACACGGCCAGCGGAGCCATCGATGAGCTTCTGGAGCGCTGCCGTCGGAGCGCCGCGGGCGGTTGCGAAGATCAGGTTTCCGCTGGTTTTGGATAGCTGAGAGGCCATTTCGAGGCCGAGGCCGCGGGAGCAGCCCGTGATGAGGTAAGATGGCATTTTGTAGTGCTTGAGAGGGTTTTATTGGGGAACTCAATGTTTGGAAGCTGGGATGAAAGAAGGGAAAAGGGGATGCGATGGTTTGATTGGGATTTGGTTATGGCGAGGTGACTGAATTTATATAGAGATAGGTTTCTTTAGGCTCCACTTTGAAATCAAGTAGTATGGCCGCGGCGATTAGCGTGTTCTAACGCTTATGCTCCTTTAAGTGGGGAGGAGCTAGCAAACTTGACATATTTCGTCCGTCCTCATTGAACGAATCACAGGCGGTCATTGCTCAGGCCAAGTTCCACTAAAGTTGTAGTCGAAGACTTGATTGGTGATTATCAAGCTAGTCTGAGTAGCATATCTGGAATACGAACGGTGGCTAGCGCGCTTTGTAGCGATGCTTAGTGCCCGCCCTGACGTCTAGGATTGATGCCGCTATTGGATAACGTGTTCTACATGCATGTGGTGGTTACAAGCGAGTGGTGGCGCTTAATTTTTGGTGCGATTTGGACGTTTTGACACCCCAGCAACCTCAACAACTATAAAAGATTTGAATCTATAACTTAGAATAAAGATATGCATAGCTGTTTCAATATTATAAGACAAATTTTTAGGGTCTCTTGATGGCCACATTTAGTTATAGTAGAGTTTTGGCCCCCTAGCATTGGGTAAGATCTACGATATAATAGAATTACAGAGACACATCACTCCAAACTATTGCCTAGCCATTGAAATGAGCTAAATACTATATGCATTCATATAATCTTATTTAATACTTTATGGTTGTTGAGATTGCTGGGGTGTCAAAACGTCCAAATCGCACCAAAAATTAAGCGCCACCACTCGCTTGTAACCACCACATGCATGTAGAACACGTTAGATGAATAGCTGATTACAAAGCGAAATCGCCAACTTCTTCAGAGCATTTGGGCTAATCGAGGAAAGTAAACCTTGCAAAATACCTTGCAAGTCGTTTTCTACATTGCTACCTACTAGTATCTGGAGTTACATTATGTCCGATGGCTTATCGTACCGTGTAAGGTGACGATTCTAGACGCCTGTGGGAATGCTAATAGGACGCGAAGAGAGGCTCTAAATCCGTCCAGCGCTATAATCGCTCCGCCGTCCAGGGTATTGCTCCCCGCATCAAGTTAACCTTGAGTATGGTCCCTGAAATCGAGACTTTCATTCCTTGTCCACTTAGCTATGTGTGAAACTGCCCCCAAAAGTAACCAACAACGAGAACCTCTTAGGCGTTGCGTCTCCCCAGACCATAGAAGTAGTCACGTGATCATACAAGATTGATTCCCAGATGCTAGCACTTACTTCGACACGAGAGCAGCTTTACTACGTAGCGTATGAGTATCTTGCCAGATATGAAAGCGTTGATACGCTCGCCGCAGGCGCCACGACAATTCAACTCTACACGTTTCGACAGCGGCTCACTTCACTCCTCGATGAGTTGAGGACTGCCATACTATAAGTACGATACTACGAATCCCACAGCCTTTGTAGAGCTCCAGAAACCGCACAAACCTGCCATCAAGCGTCTTCCCGCTGCCACTCGATTCCATCACTATCTCCTTTTGTCCGGCTTCCTCACCTACTATCGCTAAATCATGCCCTACCCTGACTTTGGGGAACCCACCCCAAATGGCCGTATCCAGCTATACACGTGTTGCCTCTGCCCCTTCGTCGACAACATGGAGCTAACGAGCTTCGTTGAGGGTTCTACGTGTCGGTGCGGACACCGCGGATGCGATTATTGTCCAAGGTGGTGGATGAGATTTACGAATCACTACTAGGACAATTAGGTCGAAACTCCTGGCAGAAGGCAAGGGCTTTGATCAGGGGGGTTCCAGATCATGTATTGCTGATGTCTGATTCTCTCAAGGTCATGCTATATATCCGTGATATAGCTCACACTCACAAATTCACTTGATAAATAGAAGGCAATGGGATTTTTTGACTTACGGTTTAATTATACCTACGTCGGTACCTACAGGTTTTTTCGTTCTGTGAAAAAGCAAACAGCAAGGGGGATGAAAAACAAATGTAGTGCGACAAGAGAGGCCAGTGCAAACCAAAAATACCGATCGCCGGCAGCTTTCAGATGCATTACTGAGCATAATCGATGCTGTCGCTGACATCATCGATGGTCGGATTTAGAGAACATTAGTCGTCTTGTCGGTGGTATCCAGCGTGCTCCTGCCCGCCTATTATGTCCATGAGACCGAAAATGGCCTTGGATCCTGTCTTGGAAACCAAGGTCTTCGCAAATGACATAGAAAAGCTGTCCGATGTACCTGTACACCCATCCCGAAAGCGTGCTTCCGGGACTGTTGTACACGATAAAAGATCCACAGTATTGGTGGTGGGTATCGAACATGAACCTTTGGGGACGATTGAGTTGAGGCAATGAATGAGGTACAAGAAAATTGAGCCTGTCGACGTAAAGAGTTATGACGAGCCCGGGGTATTGGCAAATCTACGTCCTTGGCGACTTTGAGCAAAGAAGATGTCTCCGCATGCTTTGAAGCGGAGTACGAAAGCCTGCCACTGAGCGCGAGGTCGTTCAATGCCAACTCTCAGCCACGCTTCTCTCGTTCACGCTTCTCCTTCTCAATGCGCAGGCTTATCTCGAAATCTGACATCACTGACAGGTCTCCTAGAGGTGTAGAAGGATATACCGTCGTGGATCGATTGGGCCTCGGGGTAGGATTGAACCTCGTGGCAGTATTGGAAGTCGCTTCACGTCCTCGCAGGCGGTTCTGGGAACTTGCCCGATGAACAGTGGCAGGGGGTGGTGTCAGGATATCCTCAAAGTCGTCATCGTTGCTTAAGTCGATCAGCTCAGGCGGATGAAGCGCCATGTCTGCATCTCCATCGTCGTCTTCATCACCCGCCTCAGCACCATCATTGATGGAGTTATCGAGTTCATCGTTGGACGCGGCGGGAATAGGAAGAGACGGGCGGCTTGTTTGCCTAGATGGTGCCGGATGGTTTAAGACTCGATATCCGTCTGGGCCTTGATAATTCGGACCTGTTGCGTCAAGAGCAGCATATGAGACCTGTTGGAGTGGGTGCGCATGGTTCGGTCGTGGGATGGCGGGAACCGGAAGAGGGAGCTTCTTGGACGAATTTAGCTTTCGGTGCTTTGCAGCGTGTTGTGACATGTCTGTTGATACCGTCCCACTTGGCTGTCTGGGTAGTGGTGCGGTTCCAAGACGTACTCGCTCCTGGCCAGGCGGCCTACCCAGTGGCGCAACAGGTTCCCTATGAGCTGCGTTTGATGCGTGAGTGTCTTGAGGAGGCTGTGAAGCAGCTCGTGGTGCCCTATTACACGGTTGAATCAATTCCGTAATCTCTGAATTGTCTTTGAAGAGCTCGAGACCGAGTGATTGTGCGTCGCGTCGTCCTTTACCCAGATCTGGATTCTGAAGCCGCTCTAGAGAGACCTCTGGAGCCTCCTCCCCTGCGCCCCGCCTCAGAACCGTGTGCTTTTGTGCCTTGATGTCGTTATTGCGCTGGTTTTCTCCTTTGCGACGAAAGTACAACACAGGAGCACTGACGAATCGCCTCCGATCCCTGTCTCCGGGTGGCAGGTTCACCATTTCGTCGCATATGATCTTCCAGTGATAGAGCGCGACGTAGATGACCATCATTCGGTCTTCGATATCTAGGCTGCGGTCCTGCCTGCTGAGCTTCTTCAGTCGGTCCGAGGTCATGTCGTACTTCGCGCCCTGTGTGAATCCAAAACGGTGAAGTTCGAAGACCTCTTTGATAAGTTCAAAGCAAGCCGCCTCAATCATCTCTGAAGTATACTTGGCTGTATGCGTCCAGTTCTTGCGACCAGCATTCGTGCTGTTGTCAAAGATGTCATCTGTGTTGATGAACGCATTGTACAGGAACTTCACCAACGGCAGTGTCTGTTGCTCTGCATGGTTCATCATCTCGAGCGACGATGGAGGCACCCAATGGCTTAGCCGTCCGACGTTTGCGTCATACCAATTACGGGCAGCTTCAGGATCCTGGAAATGGCCAACGAATTCAGGCAAGACGGGCAGTGCTTCCTGTGGCTCTTGGGTCCTTCTACTCGGCCGATTTGCTACTGTTCGCTGATGTGGTGCGATCTGTTCGTTCCGATTGCCGGCTTGAATTCGGGCGACGGCTGGATGTTGAGCGGGAGCGACATCCGGTGCAGCGTTCGGAGGCGGAGAAGCAGCTTGCGATGCATTGCGCGACCCAGGTAGAGGCTCAGAGTCTGAATCACTACCCTCTTCTGGAAAGTTCTCATTCTGCGCTTTGTTGTCGCTTGCTGGCTGGGTCTGGGCTAGATCGGTTGCTGAATTGGATGGCTCGGCGCGCTGTTCCACATTCGAGGGCGGTGTTCCGGTACGATAGTTCTCGCGGAGGGAAGCATGAGTCTCTGAAGCCACACGCTCTGCGCCGGCGGAGGTAGGGTGATCATCAGCCACATTGCGCGTTTCGCTGGAAAGAGATGGATTGCTGATGTGCTCTTCTTCAGAGCTGCGATCTCCGTCGTCCTGTTCCTCCACTTGTGAGTCCGAGTCGCTGTCGGCTAGCGATTTGCCCGGAGATTTGTCGGGAGGGTTTTCGGTGGATGCTGCTATTGAGACCTTGCGTTAGCACATAGTGTACATAATTTCATAGAAAGGATACGAAGGTCGGTGGTGTATCACTGTCAAGTTGTCGTGATCCAGCGCAGTGAATGAAGAATGTATACTGAGTCACAAGAAAGTTGGGAGGCCATTGCGCGTCATATTCATTCGATTAAATAAGAGAACAACGTACCAGTCAATCTGTCTAGCTGAGTTTCACGATTACCTGTAGATGGCACTGTAGACGGCATCTGGGGACCCGGGGTGTTGGAAGCCTGGACGGAGCTAGAAGTTGGTGTTGTAAGTGGGTTCACTGGAGTACCGCTCTTACGAGATCGCCGGGCCGGTGCAGCAGCAGTCGCTGCACGATGGTTCTCTCTAGCTTCACGCCGAGCAGCTCTCGGGTTACGATCTGAGTCCTCTAACCTCGTCACAAGTGTTTTCTTCTGCCCGACCCCCAAGAGACCGCGCTTACGGAGTAGGGACCGTAACTCTTCAGTATCCATAGTAGCATAGGCAGAAGGCGCCATGATAGAAGGAACGTTCCAACTGTGCCCAAAGATGGGTGGAGGTGGAGTGAGTGGCCAAAACTAAGTAGAGTGACGGTCGGGATAGTTGCGGGGCTGTCGGTGGGTGGTGAGTGCTGGGACCTGGTGTGGGTGTGGTTGTTGATGTGAAAGTGTGTTTCTTAAGGAGGGGGAGGTTGGATTTTATAGGCTAGGGAAAATGCGAAGAGAATTCAATGGAGGTGGCCACTCGAGGTACGAGAGCAGCTCCGGCGCACTAAACAGCTGCCAGAAGCTCCAGTGGCGAGTGAATCCGCTTCAGAAGCGACAGTAAGCGCCATGGCAGCGAGCAGTCGCCGGCTGTGAGAGCGAACTTGCAAGGCGATGACGACATAGCAGCGAGCAGCAGTAGGCACTGACTTGTAGAATTGATTAAGAAGAAGTATTGATAGTGAATTGCATGACGAGAAACGCCCAGAAGGACTCAAGCATTGGCGCAATCCTCATTTCAGAGTCTGAAGGGCAGGAGGGGATTTGGTCCTACAAGCCCACTTTCGGTCATCGCCGCTCACCTGAATGCCTTGTTGCTAGTCATAAAATTGCGCTCTATTCGTGTAGCTCCATGTGTTGCCTGTTATCAAGAGTTCGGTTCGTGAATCGAGAAGTTCATTTCGTGAATCGAGAAGTTGATTTCGTGAATCGAGAAGTTCAGTTCGTGAATCGAGATCGTGAAAGTCTAGGTCGGCCAGTGCATTAGCCGTGCCTGCGGCCGCGGCAGTTCGATTTCGAAGGCAGTAGTCAATGAATGAGGGACTACAGTGCATTAGGAGCAGTTTGGCAGCATTCATGGTGTGTTTGCAGGGCCAACTGATGGAGGTTGATGGTTGAAGTTGACGTTAGGTATATCGCAAATGCACGGGCCTTCATGTCCAGCACGTGATAGAACAGGTACTGTTAAGGGGAAACACAGCGACGTTAATGTCTTTTGTAGATCCAGGGGGGCTTTGCGTAGAACTGATCTTCCATTGTTAATTCATTATTGATACACATTAGCCTGGCATCTAGTCAGTGCCTCCTAATGGGAGAAGCCGCGCAGCCCAGATGCCCATGCAGTTTTCCCCGCCCATTCAAATCAAACCAAAGATCAAAACCTAACCCAAGCGCCCCTCCTCCATGCCATCAAGCTGGCTTAGCCTTCTTTCTGACCAATCCCGCGGAGAGGACATTGACTCCAGCACCACTTCCGCTCGTGTCTCCATCCTCCATCACCTTGGCCTTCTTCCGCACCAAACCGCTGCCCAAAACATTCGCCTCGCCCTCCTCCCTCTTTGAGCCCTCATCGGCACCTCCATCTACTTTCCTCTTCTTCCTAACGCCCAGAATGTTCACGGCACCCCCTGTAGCTCCGTTCGCGGTGCTACTCCCTTCCTTACGTCCCACAACGCGCCACCCCCACCCATCTGCGCCTACACCCGCCAACACGCCCACCTCCCTGACCCAAGCCCCTGAGCTCCGTATGGCCGCGGTGCGAGTTGAGAAATTTTGCTGGAGGAGGACTTCAAGGGCGCGGGCGTAGTCCTTTTGCGAGAAGAGGAGGTTGCCGCGTGAGGTGGCGGGCCAGTAATAAAAGGGCGTTGATTCAGGAGGAAGGCGAGACTTCAGTCGGCCATTTGAGGCGGACGATGATGACGAGAGGTTGGACAGAGAGGAAACGGCAGATTTTATGCGGGGGAGCCTGGGAGGAATTGGGCCGGAACGGGTGGATATTCGACGGCGTGGATTTGAAGGCTTTTTGGGAGATGAAAGGGTGTTTTGGGAGTCATTTTGGGATTGGGACTGCGATTGCGACTGTGATTCTCCTTCTTGTTCCTCGTCGTCTTCGGGGATTGATGGCTGTGGCGGCGTGATAACCACCCATATGAAACCTACACAGCGCCCTGAAGAGCACTCCTGTCGGTATGTCATCATGTCCCAGAATTGTTCTAAGCTCTTGACGCTTTTCCACATGCCGTTGCTGCGGCTGGGTGTCCCACCAGGCTCACTCATGGCGCCGCTGCCGTGGTCGGGAAGCTCCTCGTCCAGCTCATCTAAAAAGCGGGATTTGGGGTCGTCTGGGAAGTGTGGTATTAAACAACGCGGTGGTGCGGCTGGATTCGGCGCGAGTTGGAGGAGAGGATGGGAGGGTGTCCAGCGATGCTGTTGTTGGGAGGCGGAGGGAGTATGGCGCATAGTCTCGTGGATATCGAAGCCGGGTACAATGAGGTAGCCCTTTGCTGTCGTCTTATCTTGCTGCTTCCTCGCCTCCTTAGAGCTCGCAGCATAGTCATTCGTGCCAGCACTCTCAGCCAGCTTCTGTTCGAAACTCTTCTTCTCCGCTTCGGGCGCATAGCTCTTCACAACTGGATCTAGCACCCGACACCACCACCGTATCAACCCTCGGTCGTCCAGCACATGCTTCTCCGCATTCTCCACGCTTCCAGGGAAGAGATACTGGTCCTGCGCCCGCGCAAATAAGCTGACCACTAGCCTCTTACCAACTCTCTGCCTCTCATGGACCAGCCATTCCACAAAGGCGCCTGTAACCGCCTTCAAAGGGCTCCCAGCTTGCCCTCTAGGTAGCTTCAATGCGGATATGCAGCCCGTGGAGTCGGCTTTTGAGACAAAGACAGTGGTGAGCTTCTTGGTCGAGTAGATCAGGACCTCAATGGCAAGAATGAGCATCTGACCGCCATTTTTGAGTTCGGTCTGGGAGTCGGTGCTCGTAGGTGTTATCGAGACAGTGAGGAAGTGAGATTCGCAGTATGTTCGCTCAGGCTTGGATTGCGGCGGCGCGGAGAAGAGGGCGGGCGATTTGGAAGGCGGCGTCGAGATGTGGTAAAATGTGAAGGGCACATCTTTGGGAAGATGCTCGGCGAGCAAACTTTTAAGAGAATTGGTAGAAGAGGCAGACGAGTCCATTCTCTGAAGACTGGGGATAGGCATTTGGTATCGAATTGGCAGACGCGCGACGTGAAGCGTCCGCTAGATCCCGATGCGGCTTAGTGCAGCATTGTATCTAAGGTGCTGGGAAACCTTCACCACAGACCTCACCTCAATCCATCTCAAATACCAGTTGCTTTCCTCACAAACTAATTGCTATTCGAGCCCTTTAACCATGTAACAGGGCGAAGCATGGCTTGAAGATGACCGACAAAGGAAGGTTTCTAGTTCTAGGGAGGACAACCAACGGCAATAACGAACAGCTCGATCCCGGCTTCTACCATAACTCCCTAAAACCACTTTACAAGTTTCATCAATGTCTTCTAGCACGGTTTAGAGTTTTTACGGAGTCATTGGTGATTTGCATCATGCTTCCAGTTCTGAGATTATCTCGTTGCCTACAGGGCTGAGCCCATGGTCTAGACTCGGCTTCTCCGCAACTTTTCAATTTTCTAGTCATCAAAAACAACATATGATATATGCTCCTCCCAACTCTTAAATCTCCAATCCTAATCTCCAAAGCCCATTCCACTCCTCGTTACAACTTCCCAATATGTCCCCGAGCACCCTAAACCCCCGCGTCTTCGAGCTTCCGGTGGAGATGACTCATGCAATCCTGGACTTCCTCCCCCTCTCCTGCGTCCTCGAGCTATCAACTCAGAGCTCTCGAGTTTCCTCTATCCTTTTATCAAGTCCAACGTGGTGTTCCCTCTACACCTCCTCCGCCCGCCTTGAGCTATTTCAAAAGCTCTACTATCTGATTCTGGATATCCACACGCTCTATTGCCCCACCCCTTTCATCCACGGCGAATGGAAAACTTCACCCGAGGTCACTCTCACATATCGCTGGTACGCCGTACGCAACTGGATGCGCCGCGTTGACCCCGTCATCGACTTGTTCGCGTCGATGGACGAGTGCGTGGTGGGTGCGCTGAGAACGCTTGCTTTCACCTCGAGACCCGGGGCACTGGAATCATCCCCCATTGGAAATTGCAGAACGAGGAAATCGCAGCGGTCCAAATCCTGTGTCAGATGGCTAAAGTGGAATCGAGGGTCTGACGATAGTGTCAAGAGCGGGGTTGGGGTCGAGCGCTTTCGGGTGTATATCGGCACGCTCAAAAGCGTACAGGAAAGGGAGAATGTGTCCGAGTCGAGGAATTTACGCAAGCTGGCTGGTTTGCTGAAGAAGTGCGTCAAAGAGGTTGATGCTTTGGCAGGAGAGGGTGGGACACCGCGGAAGAATCTCAGGCCGCTAATAGCACATCTCTGGCGGAAGTCCAAAGAGTGCCTCCATCGCCCCATACTCCGACCACATGTCATTCATGGGGCCCCTGATTTTAGAGAAAATGCGCTGCCATACGACATACGACTTGTCTTCCTTGTCCAGACGCTCGTCACGATGACCCCGCTCTTAGGATCTGAAACGACCGCAAGGCCGCCCGTGCCATCAAACGATAGCGCCTTCAGTCGCAATTTCGCTTGCCTTCATCTTGATCACGAGGGATTCGCCTCGCGTCGTGAGCTACTAGATCCTGAATACTGCGAGTACCCGGTATACAACTTTTACAAGGTCATCAACGGGCTAGGCCTTGACATTCCGATACCAAGGTTCACGGAAAGCTACAAAAAAAGAATCGAAGGATCTGCCGCTCAGGGTCGGAAAGATACTAAGGATATGGGAGAAGAGCTCGACAGCGACGAGGATGTAGAGACTGAAGAGGCGAAAGATCAGCGGGAAGCTGCCGTGTGGATGGCGGCATTTTTGAGGATCGCTCTGGATTTTGAAACTCGGTTTGCAACGATTAGGAGGGAGGTCGAGGAGGGGTATAGGTCGGTGGACTGTGACTGCGATGAAGGGAGCTGTGAGTAGAAGACCCATATGGGTTGGGATGCCACATTACATGATACTGCTTGGGGTACACCTATGGGCTTTTCAAATCCAAGGGATTATGTAAAGGTCGATGCAGTGGGAATCAGGCTACCTTTTGCCTGACTGCAGGCTAGCTAGCTGCGCTACTCCTCACAGTGGTGTCGAGCGAGCAAGAGTGAGAGCCGTGCAGTGGCACATTCGTGTGCCCAAACTTATGACCTAGCCTAATTTCCACTGTCTTGACCTTTAAGTTGTATTTGGAGCTTGGAAAGCCCGTTGGGGCGCTCCAGGCCGTTACAAAGAGTACCCAAACTCAAATTCTATCGGTGCAATAGGTAGGCTCTCAAGGGTTCAAGAACCGCCTTCATCAACAAGTCCCAGTCGTACTAGCCCCTGTATCTTTGAAATACAAACTACGACAGTGCTGTGATATACGCAAGCTACCACTTCCTTACGCCTTCTCGCATATCAACATGCCACATCAGCCAGGTAAAACCACATGACCACCACGTGAACCTCATCTTGGCGCTCTGGAGTCCTATAAATCTCACGACTGCAACCGAACGTGTCTTTCTTCCGGAAGGGATTGGTTTCTCTCTCGGGAAAACCATCAAGACAAAGATATCATGTCGGTGTTGGGTTCTGGCCAAAACTCAATTACCGAACAAATCATGGGGGAGGTTGAGGCTGAGAGGTGTCCAAAATCTGCCCATCCAGAATTACATGGTTGTCGTGGGGTTCTGGTGTAAAATCATGGATTGCAGCCTTCTATGGGGCTGGGAGGGAGAGCTGGGAGGTGTTCAAAACGTCGTCGAACCTGACTCAAGACCCTGGCAACAAAACGGCGAGAGCATACAGGCAATGGAGTGGCAGAGGAGCTGGGAATTGTCTAAACATTGCCCCCGTCGATCGTCGATGGAGTTGGTGGGAGTGGTTGTGTTGGGCGGCACTTTCAAATATGAAGATGCAGACCATTATCTTCGAATCATGCCAATCACAATGGCATCGAGAGGACTATGATAGAAAGGCTTTTAAAGAGGTCGGAGTTGGTAGCTTGTTCAAGAAATAGTGAAGAGTATTAACATGGTCTGTGATGCTCAGTGGAGGAATCATGAGTGTGCACCCGCTCACACGCAGCCTTCCGAACACTTTTAACCCCAAGGGACGGTTGATCCACTAGGACATGAAATATTCAGTCGAAAGATGTTGATCTACCGCTGGTCGCCCACCATGCCCCATTGTACTAAATTGAAAGCCCTGAGAAGCCCTTTATACCTCTCCCATAGCTCAAATGATGCCGATATCATGTTATATCTCTCCCGGGGTTCGTTGGTTTCTTGTAGATTTTTCTCGTATGCATATACGCATAATTCCAGCACCTATGTTTGGCAGCCCATCATAGTACTTGCGCAAAGTCATTCCCATCAAATGATTCCCTCATCCCCAGCGCCGGAGCTATGCATAACCTCGATCAAACGGACAACTCAAACAACATGAAGTGGCAAAAGACAGCTCACCTCCTCCCTCTCCCACCACCCGGCGGCGTCCCAGGCATACCAGGCATACCTCCCCCACCGCCTAGCATCTTCATCATAGCACCCATATCCATCCCTCCCATATCCGGCATCCCTCCGCCTCCCCTTCCGCCACCACCAAGCATCTTCATCATAGCACCGAGATCAGGCATCCCACCGCCAGCCCCCGGCGCACCGCCTGCACCGCCCATACTCGCCATCCTCTTCTGCATAGCCGCCATCTGCTGCGCGCGGTTGCCTCCACCCATCGCGCCCTGCGCCTTCTGCATGTTTTGCATGCCGCCCTTCATCTTCTTCGCCATGCCGGCCATCATCCTGTGCTGTGTGAGGAGCTCTTCTACTTCGCGGACTGAGGTTCCGGAGCCACATGCGATACGCGTCATACGGGTGGGTTGGTCAACAAAAATCTTGCCGTCGGATTCGAGCTCTTTCTCGGTCATGGAGTCGCAGATGTAGATCATGCGCTTGAGCTTGGCGCCGCCTTCTTCGTCATCCATGCCGCCCATCATGTTTGATAGACCAGGGATCATGCCTGCCATCTTTGATAATGGCCCCATCTTCATGATATTGGATAGTTGGTCGCGGAGGTCCTTGACGGTGAAGACGCCGGAGGCGATGTGCTTCATCGTGTCTTTTTGGTCGAGCTTGAGACTCTGCACGTGCTCGACTAAGCCCGCCACATCGCCCATTCCTAATAGCTTCGAGACGAAAGGTTGCGGAGCGAATCGTTCTAGATCGAGCATGTGCTCGCCGGTACCGATGAATATGATGGGAGTATGTGTTGCTGCAACAGCCGAAATCGCACCACCACCCTGGGCAGCACCATCCGTCTTCGTAATGACAATGGCCCCGAAATCCGCCGTCTCTTTGAAAGCGCGGGACTGAGCCTCTGCGGCCTGTCCAATCGACGCATCTAGCACCATGATCGTCTGGTCCGGAGTCACTGCCTGCTGAATCTGCACCATCTCGTCAAATAGATCCTTCTCTTGCCTATGTCGTCCAGACGTATCCACAATAATGATTTCAAACCGCTCCTTCTTGAATTTCTCCACACCCTCTCTGGCTACTACCACCGGATCCGTCTGCGTATGCGATCCATAGTACGGTATCTTCGCCTTCGTAGCGTTCTGCTTGAGCTGATCGAAAGCACCAGCACGGAAAGTGTCGGCGCACACGAGACAGGCCTTGAATCCGCGGGCCTGGTACCAGCGGGCAAGCTTTGTACATGTTGTTGTCTTTCCGGAACCCTGGAGACCGACGAACATGATGACGTTTGATTTGCCTTTCTTAGGCTTGAAGGGTTCGGCGTGAGGGTCCACGAGTTTAACGAGTTCGTCGAAGACGGCCTTGGATCCGGATTAGCTTTTTCCTGTATGTGCTGCCTATGTAGACTATGTAATGCCCTAAATGGTAGATGTGATATCCATACCTTCTGTATTAACCGCTTCTTGTTCACGCCAGGGCTCTGATCGTTGAAGTTCACTGTTCGCTTTATTGAGGCCCGTAGAGTCGCAACAAGTTTGACATTGACATCCAAGGAGATCAAGGCATTGCCTATCTCTTTCAACATAGCATCGAAAGCCTACAGATACAGTATTAGCACCCGTAACCCATTTGGTAGAGGGAACGTAGCGTACCTTCTCGTCCAGATTACTCGACCGCGTAAGATCATTTACGGCGGCATTGATGCGCCGCCCGAGGTCTTGAAGCACCATCTTAGCACAGTGTGGTGTAGATATATGGGCGATAGAGGTCCTTTTGGTGGTGTATCTAAGTTCGGGGGTGTGTTTGTGGGATGTTGGTGAAGATGCGATGCGATGCGGGGAGTCGGAGGAGGTCCAAGCGCCGAATTTTGACGTCTCTTCGATTTTCTCTTCGAAAAGTTTCAACCTACAATCGAAAACAAATAATTCACACAAAATGCCTTCAACAACGCTCAAACGACGATGGACCGAAGACGGCATGCGCGGGAGGACGCCCAAGAAGCCAAAGAAAGTAAAGCGCCAGCTCGAATACCACAGCTCCAGCTCAGAAGATGAAGGCGACGCCAATTCCGACGACGAAGTCGCAAAACCCTCAGAAGTATCAGACGTAAACTCCATCCCACAATCGGCAACTCGAAAGCCAAAGCCTATACTCAAAGCAACCGACGCACCGCCTGCCACCGCTCCACTCGACCAAGAAGAGGAAGTAGTCTCAGATGAAGACCTCGAAGGCTCAATCCCCTCCTCCGCCTCAGAAGCCGATCTCGACGACCTCGACCTCAACGACTCCTTCGACGAAGAAGAACAAAATGCCGACTCCGAAAATGCCTCGGGCTCTGATGATGGAGAAGACGACGGGGTAGCTCGTCCTCAGAAGCAAAAATCTAAACGCAACGACCCCTCCGCCTTCGCAAATTCCATGTCCCATATTCTCTCCTCAAAACTCAGTCACGCCAAGCGTGCCGATCCACTCCTCTCCCGCTCCGCCACAGCGGCTGAGACGTCCCGATCGCTCACTGAGTCCCGGCTAGAAGCGAAAGCGCGGTCGAAGCTGCGCGAGGAGAAGCGGGTCGCTAAGGAGAAGGGTAGGATAAAGGACGTCCTGGGTGTGAGTGCGGTAGACGTAGACACGGGCAAGGTGTTGGAGGAGGACAAGAGGTTGATGAAGACAGCGCAGAGGGGTGTGATCCATATGTTCAATGCGTTTAGAGCGGCACAGGTGAAGGGTGAGGAGGCGGCGAAGAGTGCGCAGAAAGAGGGTGTAGTCGGAATGTCGAAGAGAGAGGAAAGGGTGAGCGAGATGTCGAAGCAGGGCTTTTTGGATATGATTGCGGGAGGTGGGAAGAAGAAGGAGCAAAGTGTGGAGGTTTGAGATGAGAATAGTGAAAATGTCAAAGCGTTGGGAAGTTAGGCGTCGAAATAGGCTGGGAAAGCTGTTGGCCTTGCTGGACTAGCTGTCCATCGTAGCTCGTAGTTGATATGAAGTAGCTATGAAGTTCCTTTTGTCCTCCTAGAACTCTCGAAATGATCATGACTGCTGCCAATACTGGTCTCATATACTATTTAAGATTTCTGAGTGGCGTATACTGTTTCCATCCCTAATCGCTAGTACATCTCCACGAAGAGTCCCACGTCATGCAGAAATGCCTAGGGTATGCCCAAAACTGCTAACCTGAAGTGACACCAACACCGTGCCCCTTCAAAACATGCCCTTTTCGAATGCTGTACACATCTACAACGCCATACCATGCACTAAATGCGCCAATCCAGAATCCTTGCCCAGCCCTATACCGTAATTACCGTATTCCACTCCTCATATCCATTTCACAGCCTCACTCCTCAGCATCCCCGCCATATCTCCCGCTGTAACCTCCTTCTCCAGCACGCCCGCTTTCCCCAACACCTCCACCGTCTTCTCCAACACACTCTTATCCACCCCCCTAACATCTTGCGCAAACCGCACCGTCTTAAGCCACTCCCTCGCATCCTCCTCCGAGTAATCCAGATTCGTATAGATATACTCGACCGCCTCCTCTTGATTCGACTCAAAGTGCCTGACACCCTTATTAATCGACTCCAACACCGCTGCAAGCTCCGACGTAACCTTCGAAGGCGACGACGGCGAAAGTAGCTTATCAGCGGCAACAATCTTCCACGAGCTCCACGGCGTATAGATCTCCCCAATCCGCCTAATCTCCCCATTATCATAGTACCGCTTCGACGTGAAATGCTCCCACATGAAGAAGTCCGCCGCGCCATCGTTAACACCCGCGCGGAGTTGCGCAAACGTATTCAGAGGCACAACCTCAAACGGCGCTTCCCCTCTGTTTCCAGACCCAAGCCAGCCTTGTTGGTCCGCGAGCACGAAACCCATGACGTACGACCCACTACACTCAATGATCAGCCACATATCCTACACAATCGCGGATTCCAGGCCAAGAACCTACCTCCCAACCCGACTGACCCCCATCTTCTTCCCCCGCAGCCCCTCCACCCCATTAATCTCCCTCTCCGCACCCGTGCTTATCGCCCAGCAGAGCGGCGTCTCGACGTATGTCCCCACGACCTTGAATCCCGCGTCTTGCTGAGCGCTCTGCGCTTTCCCGAGCGCCGCGACCCAGCCCTCGGTCAGGCCGACGCCGATGTCGATCTCGCCGGCTTGCAGCGCTTGCACCATGTGGCCGGTGCCAGAGGGAAACGGCAGTAAGGAAGCGGGGAGGGCGTGGTGGGTAGAGGCGAAGTGGAGGGGGGTGGAGAAGTGTTCTGGGTTGGGCGTCAGCTACAGAATTGGTTGAATTGTGGGAGGTAGGGTTTAGGGGGCCGTACCAGGCACGAAGCCTATGCGGAGTTGCTCGGGCATTGTTCTTGAGGTGGAGAAGGCGCGGTGGAGGAATGGGTGTGCGCGAGGGAGGGAGCGGGGGAGGAGGGTGCGGAGCATGTCTGAGGTATGCGGGTGGGTTGGTGGATGCTTGGGTTCAGGACCTATGGACTATGCGAGGGGTATATGGACGTGGGAAGTGCATAGAGAGCGAAGGAATGAGGGACAAGGACAGGGAAAGAATTGGAAGATGTGTCGCTATGCAATTGAGTGGAGGATGGTGGATGGTGGGCGAGGCCATCAACGCAACCACGGGTGGTGGGTGGAGGGGTGGAAGCCAAGAGGGCGGAGCGGATATCGTCATTCTCCTCCTTATCAACGCGATGTCGGCCATGTGGGCCTGTGGAGTGATACTGCGACATTTCATTTAATCAAGGTCGAGTCATCTTAGAATTGTTTAAAGAGTGTTCTGTTGAAGAAAAAGTAATGGAGTGGAATCTATACTACTGACACATAGAATCCTGATATAAATTTTCTCAAAGTCGTTATTCTCCATGTCAAATTGTCTCCAGATATATCTTCATCTTATAATCAGAATTTCAGCATTTAAGCCATGGCTTCTACCTTTATCAATGCAAGATCTATTGCTATCATTGGCGGTGGCCCATCTGGATTAGTAGCCGCGAAGTATGTTCACAACCTCTCTCTTTTCAGCTTCACTAAAGCCAGTCAGGTACCTCTCGGCCGAGAAAGCATTCGACAAGATTGTTGAATTCGAGCAAAGAAGCTCAACCGGCGGGATATGGAACTACACACCCGATGAGACCAACGAAGACATCTTCACCATTCCCCAGACCAGTCCAGCTGGAGGTATTGACAAACCCGTCTGGCGTCCTGCTAAGGGAAAAGAAAGCCTCAAAACCGGACACAATCACAGATCAGACGACAAAGTACCTTCATTCATATCTCCGCTCTATGAACGACTTGAGACCAACATCCCTCGTTCGCTCATGGGATTCTCAGACCTCAACTGGCCTCAAGACTCGCAGCTGTTCCCGAAGCACGAGACTGCATTAGGTTATATCCAGCAGTACGGAGAAGACGTAAAACATCTTGTTCGAGTCGAGACTCAGGTCGTTGATGTTAGGCCCGCCACAGACAATAAATGGTTGGTCAAATCAGTCAATGTAAGGAGCAAGACTGAGCTTGAAGAAATCTACGACGGAGTTATTGTCGCAAATGGTCACTTTATCGTGCCCTTCGTTCCTGATATCGAGGGGTTGAAAGAGTGGAATGAAAAATATCCAGGTGTAGTATCACACTCCAAGTACTTTCGCAAACCAGATGTCTTCGCGGGAAAGGTGTGCTTCCTCTTTCCTTCTATTTCACAATTTGAGCACCCACTGATACCCATCAGAAAACAATCGTCATCGGCAACTCCGCCTCCGGCCTCGACATCAGCTCCCAGATCGCTCCTCTTTGCACTCCGCCACTCCTCTGGTCGCAAAAGGCCGCTCCCCACCTGCAACCCGCGCCCGACCCCAGCAAACTCGACCTCCCACCAATCGCAGCTTTCATCCCCGAGTCCCGTTCCGTCCGCTTCGAGAATGGGCGCGTAGAATCAGACATCGACGCTGTCGTCTTCTGCACGGGATACTTCTACTCGCTGCCCTTTTTGAGAAATGTTTCGCCGTCTCTGATCACCGATGGGAGCCATGTCGAACATACGTATAAGCATCTCTTCTACGCGCCAAACCCGACTCTTTCGCTCGTAGCACTGCCACAACGTGTTATCCCCTTCCCAGTTGCTGAAGCGCAGAGCGCGGTGCTAGCACGCGTGTATGCTGGGCGCCTACCTTTACCTTCAACCGAAGAGATGCAGAAATGGGAGAACGACCGGATCGCAGAGGTAGGAGCAGGGCGTGATTTCCACCTGCTACCGTTCCCGAAGGACGCAGAATATATCAACGAGCTCTCAAGGTGGGCATTAAGCGCGCCCGCGAAGGCAGGATTGGAGAATGGGGGACAGGGAAAGGTGCCACCCGTGTGGGGAAAGTGGGAATACTGGTGCAGGGACAATTTTGCGGCGATTCGGAGAGCCTTTGTAGCTAGGGGGGATGCGAGAGCGAGCGTGAGGACTTTGGAAGAGCTGGGTTTTGATTTCAAAGAATACTTGAGGGAGAAAGAGAGTGATGAGAAGGCGCGTCTGTAGCATTAGAGAATGTTTCGTGTGGAAATAGACAGTTGCTTTGTCCATAGAGCTGCATATAGACGTAGCAGTGCAACCTAAACCATCCCCAGGAAGAATTTGTGGCATTTATCTCAAATCCTCGCCCTCGTCTGTCAGAGGTATCGCAAAATTTCGCCAGGACTCCGTAAAACGCCAATTTCAACCGTTTGACCCCATTTTGATCTGGCTTTCCCTCAGATTACCCTCTCTCATCCAGCTCTCCAGATCTAGGTTCCGAGTGCATGCTTATCCTCTGCGTTTTATCAGCAACTACTGCAAAACTCTTCCACGCCCATAGACTCACTCTGCTGCGTCATGAGCAGTCCATATCTCCTCTTCAGCGTGACTCGGTGGCGGGAGTACTTGTCGTCGGGCGAGAAGCGCGCCGGGTGGGCAGACTTGGAGACCTCGCCTTTGATGACCTTCTTGAGGGTGTAGGCGCGTTTGCCCGAGGCGTCGAGGGTGTACATGAGATGCATGCTGGAACGAAATTAGGCTCTGTACTCAGTCAAGAGAGGGTGAAAGGGCGTACCTGTACGATTGTGGATGTCTGCTAGCTGAGGATACGATGGGTATAGAGGTGTAGTTGTGAGGTTGAAGCTCCCCCAGTCGTTGTGCGAGACCCCCGAAGTTTTCATTTTCTCCGCAGTACCAAAGCGCCCTATTGTTTAGCGCCGGGCGCAGACAAAGCCCTCAACGGGTCTAATCCAAAAGGCCACTCCACCGCATCGTCATCCCCGAACTCACCTCCACGGCTCTTTCTACCGTATTCGAAGTGCAAAAGCGAGACAATCAACATGGACGTCCTCGACCTACTCCTCCTCATCTTCTCCCTCTTCGCCGTTTCTTCCAACGCCCAATTCGGCTTCTTCGATCAAATGTTCAACGGCGGCGGGCAGCAGCAACAACACCAGCCGCAGAACGTGAGGAGCGACAGCCAGTGGTATCAGGAAAATTACAATGCCGGTATGTTTTCTAGTCTAGTTCCACTTCAATCCCCCAAGAGCCAAACTCTATGCGATAAGCTCTATAAATTGTATCATTCCAAGCTAGTCTATGCTAGCTCTTGGAGTCTGCTACATAACATTTTTCTCACGCTTCGTTTGGGTTCGAAGACTTGAAACTTATGCTGATATATCGAATAGCTCATTGCTCGAACTATCTATGCCCCGGAACTCTCTCCTGCGTACACTTCCCCCACCACTGCCCCTGCGCCTGGGACGTCGAGGACAAAGTCGAGCTCGGGGACGGGATCGCCATATGCGCAAGCAAAGGCGGGTACAAGGAGGGCGAGACGGCGAGGAAGATCGAGTTGGCGCGGAAGGGGTTGCTATAAAAACTTGCTGGGCTGAGAGGGAGTAGGGAATAGGGATGAAAAGATTTAATCGCGTTTTCGATTCAGAAGAATGGCGATCTAACAAAAAGCGCACAGAGTCTCGTCTTGGGCAGCCGCGCATTGTTCTGCCACTGCTTAGAGCGTTATGAAATAGATTAGTTTGTTGACGGAAACGGCGTTATGGGAAAGATGTATAAAGCAACATGAGCCTTCACACTTGCAAGGAACGCTATTCAAGCCAACGCGTATGATTACGCGGATACGTCGCTCATTACCATTCAGCACTGCTGTATGCAACGCCAGAACCCCGATGCTAAGACGCCACCATACCTAAGAGAAGAAAGCCCCCCTCCCCAATGAACTCCCAAAGACCCCAAGAACACCAAAGCTTTAGCCCTAATTACCCTCACTTCTCCGCTGCCGCTGCCGCACATCATAATGATAGCGATAATATTGCACCTCATCCTTCTTCGCTCTCCCACACTCTTGCTTTCCCCATTCCCTCATCAGCACCTTTCCCATGAGCTCCCGCTCAGCTTGTAACTTCCCGAGGCGCTCTATCCACTTCCCATCCCTCGTCTCCATCGCGCTCTTCGTCTTCTCCCTCATCAGCGGCTTGAGCAGCGCCGCGAACCGCTCGTTCAGGTCCCCATTCGTGCCCAAGAATTCGTCTGTCCGGGCGTCCATGTCTGCCTTTAGGCTCTCTAGTTCCGCCTGTGCGGCTTGGGCTTCCGCCTTTGCAGCTTTGTTGGTGACGTTCTGCTTGCGGATGATTTCCCTCAACGTCTCAAGTTCTGACATAGCTTCTGTCGAGTAGACACCGTCGGGGTGGACTGCTTCTGAGCTCAGCTTCTCTGACCTAGCTTTCCCCCGCTGAGCTTCCGTCCGCAGCTGCTCCAATTCCACTTTCAGCGCTTTCGCCTCTTTCACCGCCTTCTTCTTCTCCGCCCGCTCGGTGTCGAGCATCACACCGACCTTGCGTACTGCTTCCTCAGCTTTGGTACGCATCTCAGAAAGCTGGGCCTTCTGACTCGAGGCCATCGAATCTCGCTCCGTCTGCGCGTTCTCAAGCATACGCTCGACATCCCTCTTGTGCATCTGCAACGTCTTGAGCTGCTCTTCGGATTCGTGTGTAATGGTTTCTGTCTCGGCGCGAGCTTCTCGGAGACTCTCGCGCACGACTCTCGTGCCTTCATGTGCGCGCTGGATCTCCTTTCGTGCTGCATCGGTCTCGGCACGGCTTTGGGTGAGGTCCTGCCGGAGTGTTGAGATTGTCTTTTCAAGGTCTGAGATGCGGGCTTGAGAATCGTTGACGCGTTTGTCCATGCGTTCTTGTTCGGTGATGCTGCGCAGGATTTCTTGGTCTTTCGCCGAGACGTCTGCGCGAGAGGAATCGAGTTGATTTTGGAGACTCTGTAGACGGGATTCCAGGAGTTTGGTCTTGGCCGCCTGGGTTTTTGATGATTCCTGTAGCGTGATGTAGTCGTTGGCTTCTAGGCGGGATTTGGTCGCGTCGTCTGTAGCAAGCTTGAGATCGCATATGAGCTTCTCGATCCTAGACTCTAGAGTCGTGATCTTTCCGTTCAATTCGACCCTTTCTCTGTCAAACTGAGACTTTTGCTCATCTATGACCTTAGCCATATCGGCCGAGGTTTCTTTCCTCGATTGGTCCAGCTCCTGTTGCAGTTCGGTGATTTGCTGGTCTCGAGCAAGCAGACTTTTGCTTATCCGGTCCTTCTCTTCGTCGAGTGCCCTTAACTGACCCTCACATTCGCCTTTTAGATGTGTCTCCCTGCGGACGAATTCTTCTTCTTTAGCCATGGCATACGTCTCATTCTCATTTTTTAGCTTACGACGCCACGCCTCATTCACCTCTTCTACCTGTCTATCATTCTCCTTGACATGCTCAGATTTGAGGTCTTCTATTCTCTTCTCATATTCCTCTCGTTGTGACTCGAGTCGAGTGTTCGTGTCCGCACTGGACGCTTTGACGCTCTGGTCCAACATCTCGTTGAGGTCTTTGAGCTCGTTGATTTCCTCGGATTTCTTGAAGATCTGCTTCCGAGTTGTGTCCAGCTCGGAACGTGTGTAGGTGAGGATCGTCTCGAGTTCGGTGATGCGCTTCTGAGCGGCTGATTCTTGGTCCTTGAGTCGCGTCTCTAGGTCCGCAATGTCTCGGAAGATTGATTCGTTGGTGGCGCTCTGTTCCTGCTCAGTTTGATAGTGCACCACAGTCTCCTGTGTAAGCTTCCTCGGTGTGTCGGTAGAGTCTTCGACCGTTGGCTGTAGTGAGCGGGTCTTCTGGGGAGCTGGTGAGGGTGAATGTGGGAGGGTCGCCTGGGGTCGTTGGCGGCGCAACGTCCCTGCCTTGTAATGTGGGGTCGACACAACGGCATCATCAATGTCCGTATCAGGCAGCGCATCCAAATAGCTCATGACTTTCTCATCCTGCTCCATGGTGCTCTCATCTAGATCTGTCGGTCTTTCGTCCTCGCCGCTGGTCGCTGGAGCGCGTAGTGTTGGTGATCGTGAATCCACCTTTTCCGGCCCTTCATCGTTGTAGACATTCGAGATCGCCCGATCTCCCTCCGGAGTAACATCGTCCAAATCCTCCGTAGCCTCCTGCACTATGACTCCTGGCTGTTTTGGGAGAAATGGAAGCGGTGTCTTCATCCAGTACTCCATGTTCAGCGTGAAGTCCTCCGGCCCATCAATGTCGTCGCTGCGTATGGTATCGAACTTTCCCAAACCATTGCCCTCGACGTCCGTTGTATCCAGTCCCGTAGAATCCGGCCCGCGCAACGCGTCGAAGTCCACTTCGTACTTCGTGGAGGTAGTAGATGGTGCGCGTCGGGATGCAGTCCGGGTGGGTGCGCGTCGCGTAGGACTCCGGCTTGGACTCCTCCCTGTAGAAGCGTGAGAGCGCGGCATGGTGGTGCTTGCGCGAGAAGAATGGATGGTGGGGCTATAGCAATTGCGTTGTTGAAGTTGAAGGTCCGGGGTTGTTTGTTGTTAAAGATCGGCGCTAAGAGACCCAAAACGTTCACGGCAGCACGTGAATCTTGCTCTTCTCTCAAATTCACCATACCATCACTTTTCATTGCAGAATGAACCTGAACCAATAGTACTTCAGAGCAGCTCTGTAACTCCTTGTTTAAATCCAGAGTGCTTCATTGAAAATAAAGCCGTGCCCCACAGGCCTCTCAATATATCCATTTGCGACCAATGGAAATCTATGGGCACAGAAACCTCTTTCGAGTATACAGCAGCTATTATAAGCTCAACCTATGGTACAAGCATGTCTAAGTCATTCCTCTTGAGTTCTCGTACAGTGAGCAATATATATAGCCATAGCGTCGACGTCCATCTAGAACCACAAGAAGAGCAGCAAGGCCACGGGAGTATTACGTTGTCGGATGTCCTATACCTCCTAAGGACAGCATAGAGAGGCCTCTTCTTCCGAGATGTCTTGTTCATCAATAGACAACGGGGAATAGATTTGATTAACTCTACTTACATTCGCGTAAGGTGGGCTTCGTTCTTATTCCCGGCCATACTAGTGGGATTAGTAATGGTCTTTCTTGTCGCTCTCATATTGCAAAGTCTAGAAGGGATAGAGGAGCGAGCATGGAGATCTTTAAGTCTAGCTATCTTATTTAGTTCGGTGGACGACACATACATAACAAGCCTAGGATTAATAGAACAAGGTGGGAAATGTTAGAAATCGCGAAGAATATGAAGGCTCAGCTTGTCGCGGATGGTGAGGGTCGGGCAATATTTGCGTGAGACTTGGACGCCAATGCATCGAACTAGCAAGCAGGTTGATAGGAGGGGTTCTGGAAAGGATTACTTCGAAGAAATAGCGGAGCGATGGTATGGCAGAGTGAAGGCAAGATACATATCATTGCTCCGGAGGCCGTGGTACAGCAGGTATCACTTATATGCTGCTTAGAGGTTTTGGGACTAGCAGACTTGCGAAGACGCTCTTCCTGACGATTCGATTGATAGATTAAAAGATCTAGCAAATTACATGGTGTAGGACGAAAGGATTACTCCATTTCCAGCTGATCGTGATACCAATGAGGATCAGATCGGTCGATGCACCGCAACCGAAGTCTACCTCGCCCATCGTCGTTTTTGGTCAGCCGATTCGCGTTGCACAGCCCTACCCCGACTTCTTCGATCACTTTGGACGAGTCGAGCAGTATTGCTATAATGAGTCAGCATGAATGGTAAAGCTCGATCAATGACTTGCAGCTTACAAGTCAGAACTGGATTCTTGACCGGAGGCCGTATACAGCTGGATTGTACTCTCCATAGAAGAATGCTCGCGAAAGTTAGTAAGGTGTTCAGTGCGGCCCAAAGAATGACTCTCCATGTAGCGACACTAGCAATGACGGCAGACGCACTCTCGTCGATTGTTATCTTCGGGTCTGTCGTACTACTCAGGGAGTTGGTAAGGGCGCTCCAGAAGCCCTCGTACGCCGCCCTTAGTCCATTCTCGATAGCGATCGATATAGTAGCCGCAATGGCAGTGTCAGCGGTAGAGCTCCATGCGGTCATTACATCCAGCGAATCGAGCCAGGAAATCGTTCCCGTAATGGCCGAGAGAGAATACTGTGTCAATGGATCTGACAGAACTTGAAATTGATCTTCTCCGGGATGAGGTATGCATTCTAGTACAGATGGTGCGACTAGAGTGGCCCTCGAACTCTGGCATGCGACGACGCCAGCGTTGATGTGGAGGCCTGCAACGGCATAGCAATCCGTTACATGTGTCTCCCCATTTACCCACAGATATTCAGCGTCAGGAAGGTGACTGGGCCGACCGTCAAAAGCCTCCGAAGAGCAATTGGTCAAGTTCCCGTGGTTTGGGTATCGAACGGCTCGATACACAGCATAAGTGTTTTCGTTGACACTCGAGTTTGGAGGAAGTGTATGGCTACTCAAAGGCCCGATGTTTGGTTTTCGAATTAACCCGACAACCGGCGGATTCGGTCTGTAATCGGGGTCACCGAAATTAAAGTACGCGTTGGATTTATTGTGGACGGCGTCCTGGATTTCTTGTGGGATTGAGCGTATTTTCAACCACGTGAGATTGGAGATCTCAAAAGTCGGCATGATGATCGACTGGACGGTACTACCAAGCGTATAACCTTCGACCTCCGGGGTGAACCTACGCGGGTTTTTTATTGGGACAGAGAAACTGTACTTGGTGGAGTCGCGTAGTATCGTGAGTGTCGACCCGGCGGCTTTTTGGAGCAGCACGAGTCTGGTCGCGGGCTGGAAACCGGTGTCGTCCCAAGCAACCAAGCGGTACCAAGGCGGCGTAGAGTCCCAGTCCGTCGCATTCGCAGAAGCTCGTGCGATTTGGAGATCCGTAATATTCCCATACGTCATGTTTGTGGTAGGAACCCACGTTATCGCGCCAGATAATATTGGGGAAGCCAGCTGGGCGGGCCAACCCAACAGTAGCACAAGGCCCAGGAGTTTTGTCGTCTTGTCTCCACGAAGCACTGGAGTCTTGAAGGAGATCTGGTTCGATAGCTGAGAAAGCTGAAGCCCGGTTTTCTCGAGGGCGATGAAAGCGCAACGCCATGCCGTTATGGACTGCCATGCCGTCGTAAAAATGCTAGTGATCTTTAGACCAACGGAGAGAAGCGTGGTGACGTCGGATTGGGTAAGATAGCGGTGCGGTATTCTGTAGACTGGAAACATGGTCCCTCGTATGCTCCATTGAACCGTACAGGCTAGCAGGATAGTGCAGAAGAGATGGGCAGGTGCCAACCACCACGTCCGGACCAGTGACAGAAAACCGGACTCGTCATGCCGCTGTAGGCACACATGATGCGGCTCTTGCACATCGGCAGAGCTGATGGAAGCTGGGTGTTTGAGAAGAGGAGCGAGTGCGATGCTAGAGCTACTGCTGTGACGAAAAAATGCCTGGTTTTCCTGGTCGTTCATGTCGGAAGTGGCTGTGGTATGCTGTTGATGTTGACATTATGGCTAAGGCGGAATGACGCGTTCTTTTGTACCTTGCTGCCGCCCATAAATGCGGTAGGTTGAGCCTCAAGTTAGCTGCATAAGATAAGAGTTCAGCCTCATGGGGGGCAAGTCGTGACGCTCTGTGTATCAACTGCCTTTGTACGCCTGAAAGCGTGAAGGGGGCCAGGTTGAACATTGTGAAAATGGAAAGATGAACAAAAGCCCTACAGTGAGCGGTCATAAGTTTGGGCACACGGACATTACGCTAGTCGGGCTTCACTTTTGCTCACCTAGTACCACTTTAAGGAGCACTCCAGCAAGCAGGTATTAGCTTGGTCAAAAGGTAATCTAATATCCACTGCGTCGGTCATTCCGTCGTATTCAGAGCTTCAAAAACCTATCGGGGCACCCCAAGAAGTTGCAAGGAGTGCCCAAAAGTATGTCTTGGGACTATACTACGTAGTAGCGGAGTTCCTGGATTGTGGGCTGAAGAGTTTGCGGCGGGAGAGTCGAGCGACGATTACAGCGCCTGGATGCGTCCGGGTGAACTGGAATAGAGCAGAACTCAAGCCACAGGTGGAATTGGTGGGATCGGAACGGAGGAAGCTCTTTTCTGGACAAATCCTTACTAAGGCTGAGCTGGATCTGGTCAAAGCACGGTACCGCGAGGCATTACTTTCTACATGTAGATTATCCCTCTTCCCAATGTTTGCGGCTGACTTTCGTGGCTTGATTTCCGGACGCATCCAGATGCTGTAGAACGGAAGACGTGACTTCAAAATGGGCGTTTATGAGAAAAGGTTTCATTGGTCAAGGTTTGATGGCAGACGCCTATCTCGGCAGCTGTTATTTGATGGATAGGTTAATGAAGACTTTTGACGCCGGGACATCTTCCCGCGGACGGTAGTGCATGGCTCTCCATTGGATTAAGGTCCGTTCGGACTCGAGGGGTTGTTGGCGAAATGAGCTACTTGATAAGAAGATGTAGATGAGTCGTGTTCTCCGGTTTGCGAAGGGTTGGGGTGTGATGTGTTGTTTCGTCGGAGAGACGTTCGGTTTGAGGAAAGCGGAGATGTCACGTGCAAAGTCACTTGAACATCATGACAAATGGGAAGAGACGCTCAATTCTCAATCTGGCACATACCACAATCTCTGATCTCTCGATTTCTATCCTCGTACGATAGTTGAACCTTTTCGGCATAGCGCAAGCCATAGCGACGTCCATCTAGCGACCCTATAACCACCAGAAGAGCAGAAAAGCCACGCGAGTATCTCCTAGATCCCGCTCATGGGTATCATCCCTTGCTTAATGAAGCTATCAATTTGTTCAACTAGTGGCTTTCTGTTGTCTGATGTTCCATACCTCCTAGATTAACACAGAAAGATTCCTTCTTCCGAGCTGTTTCATTCATCAATAGCTATCTCAGCCACCAGTCTTCTTCAATGTCCATCATGTCCCGTCGCTGCAAGCCTCTGTTGCATATATGCCATCCTTTGAACCAGTACATCGTTCCTGGAAGTCACTTCTTGGAGCTCAGTATCCTTCTCTTGGACCTGCCTCCTTAATATCCGGTCCCGATCCCTCATCTCTCCCACTCTTGGTCTCAAATCTTCAAGTTCGCTTTGAATAGCTCGCAATCGCACAGGCTCCGCTTCCATCCCGGCTATGTGGCGTCTCAGCTCCGGCTCCTGTGCTTGAAGTCGCCGTAGGGGTATCACCTCGACCTCCAGCTCTTGTATCCGGTTCCGCTTTTCATCGATCTCGTTATTTAAAGTCTCGATGTTTCGTACTTGTGTGTCAATCGTTCCTTCGTGGCGTGTAACCCGTGCATTGAGAGTCACAATCGTGTGGTCCCTATTGTCCACTTGCTGTTGTAGGCTTTGGTTTCTCTTATCCCGATCTTGAAGTTGTTTGACATGTTCGTTGTATTTCTTTACTGGGTCACCGACGAAATGGATGCGCGCAGCTGATATGGCTGCAACGGAAAAGAGGCCGAAGAGGATGAGACGCTCTTGGCCTGTCACCGCATGCGGAGGTTTGATATGAGGGAGTGGAGCCATTCCGAGCTCTGAGTATCGACATTAGCTCCGTTTTTCTTCACGTCTCCTCTTTGTTGAGCGAAATTACTCACGCTTTCTTCAACCCACTTCAATCAAAGGAATTTGGGCCAAGATACCTCCTCTCCAAAGACATCCACACATCAATCATAGTAGCACTATCTTCTGGGAACCATCAGCACTAGATTGAGTGCTCACTACTACTTCATGGCGAAAAGAACGAACAAGACACCAACCTCATTATTTAATTATTTGCGGCCTCCCTATGACGCGTGACGCGCATGCTTTGGGTGTTATTTAGCACCGCCTCTCTGAAGCCCATTTCCACCCAGCAAGACAACCTTGCCGCCTGCATCCCGAATATGGTCACGCTCAATACTTGGCGCAGACGCCACAAAGGCTGAGTCGAACCACAACGCCAACCCGGGCAGCCGTATTGAGGTGGCCAAGACAAGGCTAAAGAACTTCAAGACTGCCGGACGAGACATATAGGCAGCGAAGGCCCGTGGTGATTCCAGGCGTGAACCAGGGTCCGGAAGGGTGCGTCATACTATATTTCAGAGTTTGAAAGCTGGATAAGCCGCGATCATCGACTCTTGAGATCAGTTTCGACGAGAGAGACGGGGAAAACTACTTGCAATGGCATTGCTTTTAGCTCGCTCAACGACACCAGAAGGTCCAACTTCCCTGGGAATAGCATCGAACTGTAACAGCTATGTCACAATATCCGACGGAAACTCCTGCGAAGCCATCGCCAACCAAGCTGGCGTGACGCTCGAACAATTCTACCAATGGAACCCATCACTCCAAGACAGCTGCGCGGGACTGTTGGTAGGATACTCCTACTGCGTCGGAGTCTTAGAAGCTTCAGCGACTGCAACTCCAAGCATCACTGTCCAAACAACTCTTCCACCGACGACATTAACCCCAACTACCAATCCATCACTCTCACTCTCTGCCTCTGTCACAGCAACTTCCACATCCACCCACCCCTTCGAAACGCCCATCCCCACCGGCTCAGCCTCAGCAATCACCAAAAACCTCTTCTGGCAGATCCACCAAGCCCATGGTGAATGCCAAACCCCGACCTCCATCTCCCTCTGGCTCCTCTCCCTCTGGATCTTCCCCTGCCTCTGGACCCTAATCCTCGGCTCGCGCGACCTCCACTCGCTCCTCCGCACCCATACCGCCCACCTCCTCGCCCAGAAACCCCTCTCCCGCCCCCTCCTCTCCACCCTCTTCAGCGCCTCCCTCCACGTCTCCATGACCGCCCTCACCGCCATCCTCCTCCGCGGCTCAGTCCCCTCAGGCACCTTTCCACCGCACCTCTGGCGCGTCATGATGGCCTGGTTCATCCGCCCCTTACCCGCAACCGCCGTCTCAGCCGTCGCGCTCATCTCGCCCTCCGTGTACCTCCGCAGCGCGGCGATGCAGCAGATCGCGGAGGCGGTGTACGGGCTGATAGCTATTGGGCCGTATGCCGTGCTCGCGCGGCACATGAGCCCCACGGACTACCTCTCCCGCACGCTTCCCGCCGGCCCGACGAGGAGGGGGTACAGGCTTGTGCAGGGGGGCGCGATTGCGGGCTTAGCGCTGTGGTGTCTGTGTTTGCTGGGCGCGGTGTGGATTGGGATGGGGGTGTGGCGGCGGCATCGGGAGAGTCCGAAGCGGAGGGTTTGGTTTGTGGCGGTGGCGGCGGGGGTGTTTAATCTTGTGAGAGTGGTGGTGGGGTTTTTGGTGTGGAATGGAGCTATGATGCTTGATCCGGAGTCGTTTTGTGTGGAAGCGGGAGTCTTGGGAAAGGTTACGGCGGTTTGGGCGCTGGTGCCGGTGGTGGAGCTGGTGGTGCAGGGTGTGTTGAGTTGAGGAGATAGATGATGATGGTTTTAGCGTGATGGTGTGTAGTTTTACAAGATTGAACATACAGTTCTAAGACACAGATTTGGACACGCCGTCTTTTTCATCTCGTCCCAATTTATCGTGAGGTGCTGAAGCACCACAGACAGCGGCAAGTAAGCCGACTGGCACTGTGTGAAATTCCCCCGATTCAAGCTCTTAGGGACTTTACATCTTCTCAAAACTTTTAGAATGCGCCAAAGCACTTCCAACGGTGGTAAGCAACTGTCCAGGCTTTTCGCAAGGCACTGTAATGGCCCGTAGCTCCTGTTCTTCTAAAGGATATTAAAGACTGAACAACCTCTCAATATCCCTCCGCAGCGTCTCTTTCTCCGTCTTACTCTGATCTAACGCTTTCTTAAGCGCCTCAGCCTGCTCTTGTACTCCTTTAAGCTCCTCGACTTGATGATGAAGCCGCTCATTCTCCCCACTAGCTTCAGCTAAAGCTTCGTTCAGCATCTTCGCCTCTTCTTGGAAGACTCTTGCAGCTTCGTGTTCAAGCTGCATCCTGTGAACCTCATCTCCGCGTTCCGCCAACGCCTTTTGGGCCTGTTTTTTCCACGCTTCGAGGGATGCGACCTGGAGCTTCAAACTCTCATTTTGCGTGCCAGCTCCAGCGAGCACATTTTTGAGACTCTTTAGTTGATTCTGAACGGACTGGAGCTCTTTGACTTCGACAGTGGCCGAGATTAGGACTTGTTGGACGTAGGCGAAACGCTGCGTATGCACCACATTTTGGTCCTTTGCTGCTCGGAACTGGACCTCTGCTTCTTGTCGTGCGCGCTGAGATTCCCGAAGTCTGTCGCGAAGTTGGCCTATCTGTGGCCGCAAGGTGTCTGCCTCGCCCCTGAATGGCATCAATCTCGCCACTTCTGCTTGAGCAGCTCTGCAGTCCTCCCTCGACTCCGCATTCTCTTCCCCCATGCGCTCGAGCCTTGCTGCTAGGTCCCAAGCATTCTCTTCTGAACGTTTAAGCTCGCGCTGTAGAGCCCTCGTAACCTCCTTCTCGTCCTCGAAGAACCTAACCTGTAGCGCGAGCTCATTCGTCAGGTCGGTACACCGCTTCTCCGACGCCACGAACTGACTTCTGAATTTATCGACATCTGCTCGTGCCTTCGTTACCATTTTCTGCGCCGTGTTGTACGCCTCCTCTCGTTCGCGGAGCTCAATATCGAACTGTCTTTTTGTCTCTTTATGCCTATTCCGCAGTTCTTCTTCGCGCTTATCGCGCTCTCGGCGCTCTCTATCCATCGGCGCTGACTGGTTCTCCAGCCTGGCTTCCAGCTGGCCCACTCCCTCCTTAAGTCGCTGGACCTGCGCAAGCAGAGACACTCGCGAGTGATGATGGGCCTCCCGTTCATTTTCATATGCGTCTCGCTGTTCTGCTGCATGCTGCCGTATCTCCTTAACGGATACATCTGTGAGGCTTTGCACATTCTGCACCGCTAATGATTGTGTTCTTAACTGTTTCTGGAGTTGGTTGATCGTTTCATCCCGCTTCCGGACTTCGGCGAGGGCTTCGTCCCGCGATCGTACTAATTCGTTCACAGCGTTGTTGGAGGGTGTTGAGGCTACGGCGATTGTGGGGCTTGAGGTGGATCTGGCACTTCGCACCATGTCTGATTTCTTCTTTACGAGATTTACAGGGTCCAGCTGAAGATTCTTGGAGGACCGCGACTTGAGCAGGTTGAATGGCATTTTGGGGCTACTTGGTGAGGTAGGCGGTACATAGGTCTGGAGTGCGAGTGGTTGTTATGAAGGCTGAAAGTGGGATGCGACAACGCTGGAGTGAAAGAGAGTTGTTGCTACAAGAGGATTCCAAAATCGGGCAACAAATCGACTTCGTGGATCGCAAGGCCGACCGTGGCTGAGGTTCAAGGTAGAAGAAGAGGCAATGAAAACGCGCAGCGGTGGTTCGCATGCGAGGCTGAGTGCAGAGCAGTAGTCAGGCAGCCGGTGTGAGAAGTGCCAACGTGGACACGCATGCATACCTCGCGCAGGAGGGTCGTCCAATGGAACTTTAGAGAATTAGATGCCTCAACGCCAGCAAAGTTTTGGCGGGGTTTGCTCGTGATAAGTAACTGTGGCGTGGACTCAGCCTCAGCCTCAGCCTTCAGCTGCACCATCCCCTCTTTAAGCCTTGGCGATAGCCTCGTCGGAGAGCCTTGGATACTGCTTGTCACCCAGCTTAGTTACCGATAGTCCGGGGAGAAAGAGCCGTTTTATGTCGTTTTGCTCCATCCAATGCTAAAGCAAAAGCGTCATCTTGAAACCTCTTCTGCAAAGCATTCACGAATGACTTCGCGGTGTCCAACTCATGCTGCGTGCTTTCCAGACGCTGCCGAAGCTGTACGTTGGCTTGCCACGTATGGTCTGCTTTTGTCCTATACGTAGCCAGTCGAGTCAATTGGGTCCTTGCACCTGCTAGTTGTACATGAAGAGACCGTAGCTGCGGAGAGACTTGGTGTTTGCCGATTGCCATTGTTTCTAGGAGAAGCTGCTGGACGTGGGCAAAGCGGAGGGCTCTCTTCTTCGATTCAGCTTCCAGCGTTGATACTTTCTCCTCAGCGGTCCGTTTTGATCTATCACTTTCCCGGGTCATGTCTCGTAATTGACCGATCTGCGGCCGGAGTCGATTCGCTTCGTCTTCGTATGGAGCAAGCCGGAGAGCCTCGGCTTCGAAAGATCGAAGTCGGTGGACTTCTGCTTCTGCGATGCCATGTAATCGTTGGATCTCGAGGCGCTGTCGTGAAACATCCTCGATGTAGAATCGTTCGGAGGCAACGGTTCTCTGGAGTGTTGTGTTTTGGGCCTTGAGGTCTATCAACTCCTCGTTCAGGTCTGCGATCTCACTTTGGAGGTCTTGATATCTGATCTTGATGCCAGCAATCAGAAGCTTTGTCTCGTGGGGCAGCGTGTCTGGTACGTCCGTGAAATCTGTTGGGTTGGCGAGCACGGCTTTCAGTATCTCGTTTTCCTCCCGAAGGATTCGAATGGTCTCATCGGGGGTCTGGCTGGTCTCTTCGTGGCCCTTGACGTCGTTCTTTTGATTTCTTGAAGATATGATTGAATTACGGAAAATATTGCTTGAAATGAAAGGCATGATGTATTCAACAAGCTGAAGATGAACGGAATAACATTTAGCAAAAAAACTGATCAAATAATAACGGAGTATCTAGTAGATACAAAAAGCGAAGAATGAGAAAGAACAGTACTCAGAATCCTGGAACTCCAAGTCACTCACAGCTCCACCCTACCAATCTGTGGCCGCAAGGCTGAGAACCCCAGCCTCAGGCTAGACCAGCTCATGCAAGGCCATCCGAAGAATGTACTTGCCTTGTCGCCCTCTGCCACCGGTCTAGCCTAACTGCTTCCACCACCAACGACATCGGAGTACGCTCGGCAGGTCTGTCACAGCCTTCTCGCCCAGCTGCAGGCGAGTAGATTCTCTCAGCCGCAGCAATCCAATTCGTGGCAGCAGGCCGGCAGCAAGGCCGCAGCCGTCGCCCAGAGACGTTTCAGATGCCTTCGTGGCACAGCATTGAAATGAAACGAGTCGGTCATGAATTTAGCGAGAGATTGAGTCGTGATGGTGGAGGAGAGGCGTTTCGGTCAGGATTCAGCTGCGTAGCGGTGCGGGCGCCACAGCGCCACACTACTGTTTCGGATTGTGATCGATATTTTGCACAGGATGTCGAGATTGGGACGTATTCGAAGCTCAGTTGAGGCGAAAGATGTGTGAGGAATAGATTGCTATGTTCTTTTAATGTCGCTATGTAAATAAAAATCGTGTCTCGTAGTATCAAACGTGTCGACCGGCCGTATATACTCCTCCAAAAACACAACTATTCAAAGTAACGCCCTTCTGCACCCTCTTACTCCCGATCAAGCACTCAAAGCCCTCCCTTTAGTCGATATACAAGCCTAAGCTCAGATCCCTACTATGGGTTAGCTTCATTACTCCCAATTCCATGCAAACGAGATAGCCAACTCACGTTCATGATCCCATAATCCATAAGCATATGCTCGCTCTTCTCATTCAACTCCTTCCCACCAAACAACAACCGTATCCCCTCCGAGTCCAGCCCCTTCTCGTGTGCAAAATACACCACAAACTCGCACACAGGCATCTGCAGCGGAATATCGTGCACCGTCAAGCTCTTCCCGTCAAGGTTCTTGATAAACAGAGTCTTCAGCTGTGGACCAGAGTATTTCTCGCGAAGTTGGGACGGGTGGTCAGATGGAGTGTTTGTAGTCTGCGCTGTGGGTGCGGGCCGGACTTTGGGCTCTTTAAATGCGGATGAGTTGTCTGATGGCGTGGAGGAGCCGGTCACGATGCGCGTGATAATGGTGTCTTCTTCGATGCCGCAGTCGCCGAGAGTCGAGGCTTCAAAGATTAGACATTAGAGGCTGTTTTTTGTAGGTGTATTGGGGTCCAGCCTTACCATCTTCCATTGGCCTTCCAAAAGCCATCAATCGGAGATTCGATGGGTCGCAGCGGATCTTGGTGGCGAGCATGCGCTTGAAAGTCTTGACGGTAGTAAAGCGCGCCATTCCAGTGACGCTGACGACTTCGGAGCCATCGATGGCTTCAACTTGGAGGGCGCTGTAGGTGTCATTGGTTTCGGACATGATTGAAGGCGTAGATATGGGAGAATTAGAGAAACTGCAGTTGAATGAAAATGCACGGAAGACGGAATTGAGAGTTTGCTTCAAGGCAGAAATTAGGGAATAGAAAAGGACTCGAATTTGTTTTCAGAGAAGAGAGAGGCGACGCGTGAAGGAAGGCTGAGACGTGCGTAGCCTGGAGCGCCCTATTAGATCACGCATCATGCCCGTCGGGCCAAATAGACCAAGGCTGAGAAGTACCAAGAAGATAGGCATGTTCCATTGCATTTTGGGCGGATAGATGGGCCAGAGATGCTCAGGTGGCGTTGTTGTGGCGTTCACACTTCATGCAAGGTTGAAGTGTTGGCGCGAGGCTGAGCTGGCGTTTCCGAGCAGGAGTACTGCGCCAATAAATGGTGCCTGGGAGGTCGTTTCAGAGCCTTCTTGCTCATGCAAAACGGCAATTAGTACAACTAACGTATCGTTTAATCCTGTTCCGTGGTTAGTCTGCTTCACTTACTCTTGTCCCTTTGGAAATACCTACCTACTTCAATTGAAACTGCGGAAACAATGGCAGACGAAGACTTCGAAAACTGGAAACTCTGCTTCAACATCAACCTCTCCTTCCAAGTCCTCACCAAAGCCGGCACCTGGCAATGTCTAGGCTGCGACACCACCCACACATCGCCCAACCCATCCTACCGCTCCAACTTTCCCATCATCGCCGCAGAATGTCCTGCTGGGCACAACAACCGATTGAACATCGAAGCCGTCGGTGCCTGTCCCTCATGTGACCAAGACCTCGTCTTGAACATCTCCACCCGGAAGCAGGAATGTTTCCAAGAAGGCTGCCGGAGATTGTTGGTTGTGAAAGAAGAAGTGGTCAAGCCTCGAGTCGTGGCATCTGTATACGAGAAATATGTTGGACTCTTGGAAGAGCATAGAACGTTCGAGTGTCCGGTCTGCATGGTTGACTACCCGCTTTCGGAAGCACCCTCAAAACCACCAAGCAGCAAATGCACCCATGACCCAAATGTATGCTCAGACTGCGTAACCGCAATGCTAGTAGCCCAGATCTCCGGTGGACGATGGGAGTACATCAAATGCCCATCCAACGATTGTGAAGAAGAGCTCGACGGGAAAGGCATCCAAGCGAGCACGCCGGTGGACACATTCCGCGTGTACAACGAGTTCGTAACAAACCGAGCGCTATCGCAGGATCCAAACTTCCGCTGGTGCTGTGGGCGGATCAACGACGGCCAGGAGTCCTGCACCTGGGGCCAGCTATGCTCCGGCCCAAGCACGGCAGGATGGCGTTGTATCAAATGCAACCAGCTAAATTGCTTTGCGTGTAAAGGGCCTGGGCATCCGGACGAGACGTGCGATGCCTATAAGGCCCGGCAGGGTGATGGTGCGGCGAATGAGCGGCGGATTTTGCAGATTACGAAAAAGTGTCCAAAGAAAGGGTGCAGTAATCAGATTGAGAAGAATGGAGGGTGCATCAATATGAAATGTAAGTGACTGGACTGGAACATAGTGGCCTGATAATCGATCGTGCTGACAATAATGACCTAACAGGCCCCTGCGGAATCAACTTCTGCTGGGAGTGTAAGGTCATCTACGGGAGAGGAAATACACCTTGCGCATGTGGCATGCATTCCCTGCACGAAGGTTGTCGTCGACATCTTAAGACCTGTTCGTATAAACGTCCGAACGCGATCATAGATAAACCAACAGCTTCGCATCCGCTTTATCAAGAAGGATGGGACCAAGACCCTGAGTATATCGGGTAGTATTTGACTGTGGGAAGCACGTAATGCACACAAAAACAACGAGATTAGTAACGCATGCAATGAAGCCTTCTGATTGATAAGAGAAAACACTTCTACACAAAACTTACATCTTCAATCATAACTGTGCCCTCGGCCGCTCAGGAACACTGTCCCACGCCTGCGAAAATCCCGCCGATCTCACCCAACGCGGTTCACCCGCTTCGACAGAATCAATCACCATATTGCCCAACTTCAACCACATATCCTTCTTGACCTTGAAGCTGTCTTTTCCCTCATATGGCTCAGAGATCACTTGTCCATGAGCCACCGCCCTTACAAGCTTCGCTGCATGTCCATCATCGTCGGTGTTTCTGACTCGCTCAAAAATACTAGCCCAGGATTCAGACGCATCTTTGGTCGCATTTTTCGGCTGGTAGTTGGTGACTTCATCGATAAGCAGATCCGGAGACCGCCGCGACGCGTACATGGCTAAGTCGAGTCGGCCTTTCCACTCTAGGATGCGGGCCTTGTTGGCATTGCTGAGCCAGCCTTGCTTGAGGAAGGTTGAAAAGAAAATCGAGGCGTTGACGCAGTGCATGTAGTAAAAGTCGAACTTGATTAGCTTTTTCGGATTCTGCGCGCTGCTGGTGTAATATACTATGGCACTGTTAGTCCGTTATATGCGTAGAGAATCGCATGATAACGCTTACTGGCAGTGTTTGTCATCTCAGCGACCTTCTCGTCCAGTTCAGATTCTTGTACGCTGTATCGGCTAGCATACTTGATCATCTCGTTTGGCGCACGTTTAAGAAGCCCATCTCGGATCTTATTCCCGTCGTCCCAGTCCGCGGCGGTGCTGAGCTTCTTGTCGGCTTGGATTTCGGCAAGTAATTCCACTAGAGATTTCGACTTCGACACATTGATCTTCTTTGCTGCCTCTTCAGCTGGCAGGAGAAACCTGCCTATCCAAGTATCATGAATAGCTGCCTGAGCGAGTGCCTCTGCAATAATTGCTGGTTGCTGGAATTCCACTCCGAAGCCGAGATGGATGATAGGATGAAGGAAGCCTGGATGTAGTCAGTAGAAGACCGCATCAGCTTTTCAAATCTGACGCACCTGCGTACATCCGGACGAGCAAGTCTTCAGCGCGTTCATCGCCTGCGAACACGTACTCATTAAGGACGTTCTCCCACCCCTTTTGCTCTATCTCTTTCTCGAAGAACACTAGGAAGTCACGGTAATACTTCTCCTTTCCCAAGTAGGACTTGAAGCGATCTGGATCATGCATATCGTCGATGACAGATCTTTCAAGCGCTACTACAGGCCGTTGATACGACTTGTTGGCATCGTATTGCTTTTTGAGGGTAGATGGAGAAGCGCCAAGAGCGAATATTGTGAGCAGGTGATGTGCGATGTGGTTCTGAATAATACAAATAAGCAGCTGCCCTCTAAATTTATGACGCTGAAAAACATCCGAGAGGTTTATATGACGCACATGATATCCAGATTCATTGAAAAAGATGTGATGCTGGTCATGATTTTCTTGCAATAGCTTCGACGCCGCTTCCGCCGACTCGGCAGTAATCCCGGATACATAAAACTCGGGATGCTGGGAAGCGGAGAGCTTAACAACAGACGAAGTTGCCATGGTGCGTGTTTGAAACGGTAATGTTGAGAACTGGGAAAGACGCGTTGTTGGGAAAGTTGATAGTGTGTAGAAGGCGCCTCGTAGACGTGGCAGCCCCACGACCATTTAGGAATATGGGAAGAAATAACGATTATGGGAGGGATCTGAAGCTCATATAGCTAAGTTCCTGACGTAAGAATAAACGCGGGGTGCAGGTGGGGAATCTAGGGATATTTAGGTGAAAATGACGAATGACGTTGGGTTGGTGGCCTAGGTGGCAACGAGTTGACATGCTTCGGCCTTCGGCAAAGTGGAAACGCCTTTGATGCATAATCCACGAAATGTTAGTAATGCTGCAGATCAACGGATTTACTCTACTCTTGTTCATAGATAGAATGGTCGTATAGCTGTACTACAAACATGTCCACGTGAATGCAGGAATTGGATTAGCATAGCCTGTTATTCGTCGCTCTAGCTGATGTGTTCCATCGAGTCGAGAGTCCTACCACGTAAGAAGGCCACCTCTAGCCCATCGCATCCCCTTAAACTAGGAGAACGAGGCTAGTACACCCTTCCAGACACCACCAAAATGCATCATAAGCACCCCAGACCAAGACTTACCGTCCATAACGCCACGCTTAAAATGCCACCGTAGCTCGAGCTGTGTACCTCCTGAAGATCTACATCTTCTTTGCTTCCATTCCATCTGGAGGCTGTGGCACCACCGTCTCCTTGCCGACGCTAGACCAGTCGGTGCTCAGCACGGTACCGCCGCTCTCCGAGTAGCTCTTCATCATAGCACGCTGGGCATCTGGATCTGCGCCCTTGAAGAGCGTGCGGAAGAAGCGGGTGGTTTCGTCGCCTTCATCGGCATCCAGATCATCGTCTTGAAGGCCAACGTCCTCTTCGCCTTCTTTCTTTACCTTTTTCGTGGTAAGGTCTTTGGCCCACTTGTCCCAATTCTTAGGGCCTGACTTCGAGGATGTTGGGTACGACGGCACGTTCTCCTGCTTCAAGATACGCGTGGGGATCTCCGACTTCTCCCCGGCCGAGGTCGTAGCAGGCGCGCTGGTACCCTCCAAAGACGACCATTTCCCAGGTGTGGCCTTCTTCAAGGTAATCTCGATCTTGTGAGCCGTGATGTTCGACGTAGACTTTTCTGGGTCGACCGGGCCGAAAAAGGGGTCAAGGGTGTAGTCGAAGGAGGACGAGTCTTGGATAGGGAACGAGATAGATAGCTGTAGTGGATTAGCTTAGAGTCAAGCTGACGCAACAATCCCAGCTTACTGAGTCTTTCTCAATCTCGATGTTGGCTTTGTCCTTGGGCACGCCCTTGGCCAGCAATGTGAAGTAGACATTTTCCGCGTTCTGGTACCAGTCATGCTTGATCTTGTCTGCAGGCGTTGGCTGGATAGGCTTCGGGGAAGCTGCGGGAGCTGCTGTAGCTTTGTTGGTTGCAGAGCTTTGGGCGGCCGGGCTCGGGACCTCTGCAGAAGGGATGTCCTTCACGGTAGCCGTTCGACGCTCGTCGCCCTCGGGAAGCGTTGCCATCTTCGTCTTAACCTTGGATTCCCAAACCGCCAGCGTCTTCTCCTTCTCGTCGAGCTTCTTCACAAGAGCGAAGACGTACTCTGCATCGGCGTACCTCTCGAGGAAGAACAGAGCTATGGCTCGTCGTAGTTGGGAGTCCTTTATGAGCTCGCGTTTGGCGCGCTTGTGGGCGAGCACCACGGCCACTTCGGCGTCGGCGAGTGCAGCTTCGTAGTTTGGCGGTTTGGCTCGCTGATAGGCAGTCGATCGCTTGATGTAGTAATCGACGGCATTTGGATTGACGGCAAGTGCGGACGTGTAGAGCTTGATTGCTTCCTCGAAGTTGCTGGCTTGCAATGCAGCTGCTCCCCGTGCCGCAAGATCCATGGTATGAGTGCGAGGTTGAGCAGTCGGTGGCGTGGTTGCTGTGAGTTGTCGAGCTTCCAAGATAGAGTCCTTGGCCGTACAAGAAGCGGGCTAGGAGGGTGGCAGGAGGGTGGGATTAAATAGTCGGATGAAGTGGGATGTGGACCTCTGCCTAGCGCACTGTCCATCCTGCCACAAATAAATCCGGGGTACCACGGTGCACGGATACCTGGACTAATTCACCCCTCGATTGACTCAACGACATTGCACCCTCTTGAAGGGCTCCAATGGATTACGTGCATCCGCGGAAGGACTTGCAATATTCCAAGGCGGTCCTTTCCTCAGGCAATTCCACGATCTCAAAGGCAAAGCAAAGGTCTTGATTTTGATGTCGCGGGTGCAGTTTCTTATAGTCAATCTGTGCTCTCCTTACCCTTCATGAGGCCATCAAAGGTATGCGTACCCAACAGACAGCCTGAGAGTATGGCACCATGCGTCGTATACCCGCGTATTTATTTGCTTGTCATTCACTTCTCATATCCAAGAGCCGTCCATCCTTTTTGTTCCGCGCTCAGCTTGATAGACATGCGCATGATTTCGTTCATTCTGTTACTTCAAGCGACGCACTACTTCTACACAAATAGAAAACGAGAGGATGACAGCAATGTCCGGAAACGCCATCTCCAACATTAATTAACGCCATTAGAGCTACCGGCCCGACTACATGAATCTCTGCAAAGCTTTGGATACTCAGTGTTCCCTCCATTGACGTCTGCCTGAAGCCTCCATGCCGACGTGGTCATGAAGTCCAAGCTTGCCCCAAAAGTCAGAGCTCCGCATACTCGCGTCATTCTGCGAAGCAGAACTGCTGACCATCAACTCCCATAACCGAGGAACCTTCATGACGACTTCCCCTGGAGACCCAGTGCCACCGGTATCCGCATTCGTTGTGGTCATAGTCTTGGTCACCAGCTGAGTATTTAGCTGGTGAACATCCATCTCACCAGGCTTCTCTGCGCTCTTGTTGACGAAGCATACAAGAAACTCATCGTACTTCAATGAAAGCTTTGCCAGGTTTTGGATGAAACAGCGCCAGAGCGCCAATTTCGTGACGGTTGCCCATGGTGTCATCATATCGGCGGTCGTACATTCCACGATGTAAACCTCATGCAGTGTCTCTTTGTGCTTGGTCAAGAAGACTTCTGTGGCGCTCCAGGGAAGGTGAAGACCGACGAGGGTCAGCTTACGGAGGTTCTCGAAACGCACTTCAGACAGATCCCGGACGGGCAAGGCGGCAAGGCGGATGGGGTCAGTAATGACCAGCTCCTCAATCTTCGGTGCGGTTTTGGCATAGTTCCAGAAAGCGTACAGCTGATTTGTTCGCCTCCAAAGGTGGCTTTCATCCTCCTCGAGCTTGATCTTTAACACTCGTAAGCTTCTGGCTAGGTAGGCGAAGTTCTCGAAGTTGACGATTTGTGCAGTTAGGTTTGGCGACTTTGGGAGCCCAAAATAGGTATGCGGGGATTGAGGGGACGAGGTCGCTTGCTATTAAGGTAGCGAGATGGAAATTGAGCTCAGGTATCTCTCGGCTTGTCCGCTCGAAACATTGACGAAGGATGTGAAGGCCGCGGTAAAACTCCCTGGCATGTTCTTCTCTGAAAAAGGTCAAATGATATGGGACGGGAACGCGGTTAAACTCATGTGAGTGCTTGAGCCAGTGCCGCCTTTCTGGGGAATTGTAGAGGACATTGGAGTCCTTGCCCAGGAAGCCGACATCAGGAAAAGTGACCCGGCGTAGATTCGGTAAGAGGTTTTCGCACAGAGCAAACCTAAGAACACTTCCATCTGCTTGAGACCTTTGATTATTCAGGTATTCTCTCGTTGATTGACTGTTCGCCAGCGCTGCTGTAGGGTACGTCGTGTCATCCCACACAAGCTCGGTGATCTTCTCTCGGTATAGGCGGTTATTGATGATTTCTTTGAAAGCTGCAAGGTCTCGGGAATGGTGCGAAAGGTAGATGCGCTTCATGGGGAGGAAGTGGCCTCCGGTGTAGGCACAGGCGCGCTCTATGAGGCGGAAGCTCTTAATATCCTCGAGGTTCGACAAGTACCGGGCAACGCTATCTTGCATTTCCTGGGAAAGTTCTCCGAAAGTAAACATCTTCAAGGTTTGGACGTGGGGATTTAGGTGTTTTGAGTTCTGTTGTGGTAGCAGAAAGAGTATGCTCTTGCACGTAGACGTTGGGGTTGGAAGAGAAGTGCTGTCTCGAGGATGTCGCAAAGAAATTATACTCATGTGCGAAACAGAGCGCACCAGCGAAGCTGCCTTGGTCCCATGGGCCAACGAGACCTGTACCATGGAATGCTCGGGCAGGCAACACACGTCGTGCTTCGAGACCAGCGAGCTGATTGTAGGGATTGGACGATCTTCTACGTCCCCTATGTATCTCCTCAATCTAAGATAGGCTTTCACAGTAGCTGGTGTTCTAGGAAGCCTCTATTGATAGGGTGTTCACTTCAGCTTTGGCGTAGTCATGACTATTTTGAACCAGGGAACTGTACGCTAGTCTACCATGAAACAGGTAGTACGATATCCCAATGTGCACCCAAGCAATTTCCTTTCCCATTCAGGGAACTGAGCTGCTTACGCTCCAGCCTGAGCTGTGGCTGTGCTAAAGTGAGCGGATCCTGATTTGGGACTGAGGCCCCTGTTCTGGGCCCTGCCCTGGAAGGCCCGTAGACCTGCCAGGTTCCAATTTCCAGGCCCCAAGTCTCGAGTAAACTTGCTCCACGATATGTTACGGGCTATTCTGCAGACAGCCACGTTCCTAAAGCGGCACGTTCTTAAGACGGCACGTTCTTAAGACGGCATGTTCTCAAGACAGCATATTCTCAAGACGGCACGTTCTCAAGACGGCATGTTCTTAAGATAACTACGGTCTTAGAACGGTAGCATCTCAAAACGGGGTCGTTCTCCAGACAGTCACGCTCTTAAGATAGACTCGTCCGGAAACTGTTATATTCTCAAGATGGACATGCTCTTGGGGCAGTGCCGTATTAAAACGATTGTGTTCTTAGAAAGTTGTCATCTGGCGCGGGTGTTCTATAACTCAAGCCCTCGTTTGGCCCTGGTTGGGCCGTGATTTATGTCCACTGAGTCGGGGCCCAGACACGATAATATAGAAACGCTGATAAAGCGGCACTAAGAGCGTGAAAAGGAGAGCAATGCTCACCTACATTAGTAAAAGCGGTAGACCGAGCACCCATAAAATCGTAAGTGCAGGTACTCGTAAAGGTGTAACTAGGGTCGTATGGTTTGGGTTTAGCGAATGCATCACGTGAGAATATGCGTATTCTACCTACTCTTAGCGTGCATACGCCGCTCTATTACTTTCTATTCTAGCGTTTAAAAATGTCATGACTGGTAGAGAACACGGGACGACAACAGCGTCCTATAGGTGCATTTAAGCCTTCTCATTATACGAGTCTAGGTGTGCTAGTAAATGACTAAACACAGCTGTGCATAATATGTAGTCAGAATACCAGTTCCTTTTCCCGCCTCCGCATAGCTCTTAGACCTCTCCATAAGCGGGGGCCTATGAGCCTCGGATACTGTATTCCTGACAGCACTATGCCCACCGGCTAGGACAACTCGTTAATAATAGAGCTAAAGGTAGCGATTCCCGATGATGGTAAGCTCGAGCTCCGTTTCACCCTTCTCTTGTCCTCATCCCGCACCTTCGTTATACCTTTCTTCACTTCTATGATGCCGACGAATCTCGAACGCGTGAGCAAATAGGCATTGCCTCTATTACTCTCCGAGCAAGTACGTGCTACCTTTGTAAGCTAGCTCTACTTTCCTCAAAGCCGATACTAATTCTCATCCTTACAGTGGCGGCAGCCGTCGTCTAGCTTGGAACCTCACCCTTTTAAGGGCAAGAAGGGTGCCTCCAACTATTTCAAAGATGTCACCTTCGCTATAATGCGGTCGCAACTTGGCGCGTTGAACCTCGCCCAGTTCCGATATATAAACCCGTGGACTACCGACGTGTATCTCTAGTTCGCGAAGGATAACGGCTTTGCACTAGACAGTATTATACTGCCTAACGGAAAGCAGGCATATTAGATTGGGAACAAGAATGCGCAAAAGACAATCGTGTACTTACATGGTATGCCAAATTCTGCGTCTAAAATTAGCAAGCTTTAGGTGCTGATTCTCGCGCAGGCGGCGGATACGTATTGCCTGGCAATGCCGGCCAGATGAAGTTTCTAATAGACATGAAAGATGCGTGCATCGACGCCGGACGAGACACAGCCATCCTGTTCCTCGCGTACACCACCGCGCCAGAGGCTAAATACCCCACCCAACTAACCTATAGTCCCTTTCGAAATGCGCGCCCCCCGGCGCTAAGCGAGAATATTTTTCCCCACCGTCCTCACCTGAATTTGTATGAAAAATTCAGGAATCCTCATCCCCCACCATCCTCAACGAATATCACACTACCTGTAGGCAATCCTCACCCCTTGTTCCTTGTGTACTATGCCTAATTAGGCAATCAATAAGCTCTAAGCCCCTAAATGGCCGGCACACGCGGCAAGAAGCGCACCAAAAGTGTCACTTTTGATTCTAGAGAGGAGGATGATGCTCCTACACCCCTAAAATTGTTAGCATACTGTAGGAAGGCCCGGGAGTGCTAAAAAGGGTTAGTAAGCCTACTAGGAAGGTGAAAGAGTGTGCTGCTGCTGCCAACGCCTTGCCCCTAAAGAAGAAGGCAAAGAGGCCCCCTCTAAGGCCCCCTCTAAGGCCTAAATCTACACTAAAGCAACCAACTGTAGTAGAGAGTTCACCTCCTGTTCTCTCTCTATCGCCGTCACCATCACAATCGTCGTGGAGGATGGTGATCCCTGAGTCTCTCATACAAATTTGGGTGGGGATGGCGGGGAAAAATATTCTCGCTTAGCGCCGGGGGGGCGCGCATTTCGAAGCTGACTGTAAGCAATCGAGCTCCTGCGATATCTTATCGAAACCGAGCGACTCGATCCGGCAAACGCTTGTTCCAGCCGCCTCGTCCCTTAGTAGACCAGCCCGCTGACCCGTCATAGATTACTCTCGGCGGCGACTCCGCAGACGGCAACCTCGCAACCGGCGTCCTGGCCCATCTCGCGCACCCACACCCATCCATCGCCCCGCTCTCCCTCCCCGCGAAACTGCACGCCGCCTTCCTTATCTCCCCCTAGGTCTCCTTCAACACGTATATCCACTCGTTCCAGGCCAACGCCGAGAAAGACGCCTTCGACGGCCGCGTGCTGCGGCTCTGGTCCGCCGCGTTTCTCAGCAGCGACTCGCCCTTCGCCGGCGACTTCTACTCCGAGCCCGTCACGGCGCCCACGTCGTTTTGGGAGGGCGTCGCCGGCGTAGTAGATGAGGTGCTGATATAGGGCGGCAAGGATGAGGTGCTGATTGATGAGATTGAGGAGTTCATGGCACGGTTCCAGAAGGGCTTTGGGGGGGCTGGGGGGAAGGTGACGACGATTGCCACGGAGCGGGCGGCGCATGAGGAAATGATCCTCGATGTCATGTTTGGGTACAAGGAGAAGGGGAAGAGCCACCTCGTGCTGGAAAACTGGGTGAAGTCGCGCCTCTAGGTAGATTGTGCATATATCCTCTGCTGTAATAATATGTTAAAACGAACGACTGGATGACTTCTTGGTTAATTGTACAGTATTTCCTTGTCCTAAGTGCCGTCGACAATAGATCCCGTATGATTATCTTATTACCAGCGTCTCTTCTTGGAGTGGTCACGTCGAAATGCTTCATGGTTCTCAAAATGCGCCAAATTTGAGGACGGATCCACACCCCGCAGCTCATGAAACCAAGTGACCCTGCCTCTTTTGCCGATTATTCTTATAGGAATCAGGAGCTGCCATTCACCGGAAAAGCTATATTCGCCATGGCAAAGAGAGTAAAATCTTCTTACGTCCTTTCCCGTGTCTAGCTTGCCACAACCAGCCAGACAGTGATGGGCAACAGGTTGCTATAATTGATGGGTGCTCAGCATGGAATGCACATGTGTTCTCTGTCCATGGCGAATGTTCTCGTACCTGGGCTGTAGGGCTTCAACCTGCTAGAAGGGAGAGCAAGAGGGGGTGGTCAATTCAGTATCTTGTGTGTGCAGGTTCCTTCCCGTCGCGGGGTATCTGGATCCACTTCATGAGAACACATCTTCTGGCACTAACTTCTGGAGGTGTGTCATGTTTTGATTGTAGTCGTCGGCAATAAGAAAAGGAAAATCTGACGTCACGTATTACTGGAATCGAAGCCTAGAATGAGCATCTGTAGTCAAGTTATCCTGCTCTCTTCTAGAACTTCACCGCGAGCAGGTCTACTTTTACAGTGTTAAATGCGTCAACAGACACCGAAACAAGTATCGTGGGAAAGAAGAGAAAACGTGAAGAGTGTGGGAATCGAAGTGATTTCTTCGGGGGAAATCTATGAGGTCGACGAACCTGGCGAATGGCGAGAGGCATCTGAAGACGATTTTTCTAGAAAAGGAAGCCCGGATTTGGGAACTGGCCGTTGTCAAGGGGCTAGAATTGGGCGCTTGAGGGCTGCATGGCTGCATGCTATGCGGTGCGATTTTCCGGCTTCAGACCCCATGACGTCTTGCTATACACAGCGGAACTTTCTCTTTGGGCGCAGCTTTACTCCCGTCCTGTATGCTCTTACCCTGCATTGTTATTCTCACACGAAACCCCAGTGCAGACTGCCAATGCTTTGCAGTGCTCCTCTTTGAGAGGCAATATTGAGCAATAGCACACCCATCAAGCAATCTCATAGGTGCCGAGGAAACTCTCAACCGAATCCTCGAAGTCAGCGAGTTCGAAATAAACAAAGTCCTTGTCTGCCGTGAAGTTGGACCTAGGAAAGAATTGCAATGCTCCACTCTCGACCGTGTTTCTCTGGAAAGAATGGCCGGCGCTAACCTTTAACTCAGGTACGTCGGATTTGGGACCTAGCAGTTGAGTGACTCCGTCCAGGTACTGTCGCAACTCAGGAAGCTGCAATTTTGTATCCTCCTCGAACTGGAGAGACTCTAGCGCAGAAAGGTTCAAAGTTTTGGCTTTGCTCTGGACGCGTGCCCATTCATCTTTGAGAGTCTTGTGCACGTCTTCCAGTACGTGTTGTGCGTAGGCTACCCCCGGACGTTCCACGGCGAAACCAGGGCCGTTAGGAGTCGAGCCCAACTTCAGTATCCGGCGCGAGATCTTGGTAGTCATGAAGAAAAGGAGGTCGTGAGGTAGGTGGAGAGCCGGAGACTCTCTCAAGACATAGCTCATGAAAAAGATCATGAATTCCTTGTATAACGATGACAGCTGTCTGGAACCCGGGTTCAACATGCACAGCTGAAGCGAGACTCGAATCATAAGCCACAGACCGGAGCGTCTCCAAGGTGTCTGAGCTTCTTCTCCGAGAAAGACTTCCTCTCGGCTCCGCTTCGTGATACCCGAGACAGCGCATCGGCGGCCAAATCCACGGAGCACGCCCATCAGCATTCCCGTTACAAGCCTAGGGTCAGCAGTGTCGGGTTTGCAGCGTTCGTCATCCTTCGCGTCTTTGGGAAGGTTGCTCCAGTCCGTTTCTCGGTCCACAGTCGTGAGAAAATGGACGATTGCTTTGCGAAAACGCTCGTCGTTCATGTGCTGAGCCTCGATCGATATCGCGGGGCCGGGGAACTGACGCCGGAGGCGTCCTTTGCACTTCATAACGTCGTCGTCGCGTACGAGCAGCTCCATGGATTGGAATTGGTACTCTTCATCAACGCGGACGATGAGGAGTCCCGCGTTCTGAGCTCTCATATGTATGGCCAGAATGTCTGCAGCTGTGATCAACGAATTGCTTTAGGTCTGGGAGAACAAGACCCTCGACTGACCGTTCTGACCAAGTCTTTCCAGCTCAGAGAGCAGCATCTTTCCTTCGAGAAAGCCGCCTCGGTCTCGTACACGCTGCATCCGTTTGATTAGCTCGATGCAGCGGTCGATGGTATCAGAACCTGATGCATCGCCGAAGGCCGTTCGAAAACGCTGCAGCGCGATTCGGACATCTTCCGTCAGAAACCATTCGTGGATATCGCTACCGTCGTTCTCTTGAGGCAGTTCTGGTGGAAGAAATATGTGGTTGATTGTGTAGAGTCGGGCTTCAATGTTGCGCTCCTCGAATTCTGCGGTCGCTTGGGGGATCTTTTCGTTTGCAGACATTTAGACTGGATTCAGTCGACGGAACAAAGCTCCGCTGTATTGGCTGACCGCAGATGGTGTGAGTGATCTGGTACTGCCTATAATGTAGCATTACCTTTCGGGACTGTGGCCCACTCTGGGGCCGAATATGACAGCCTAGGGCAGCGACCGCCACCTCCCTTGTGGCTATGGCCTTTTTGGGTCGGAACCTTTAAGACCTGCGGTGAGTCTTCCTCCTTGTTTGATTGGGCGACGATACCGATGCCTAATCTGTGGCTGGCTGCTCTCGTCGTCAATTGGGAACATTTCATGCATGCTGCGTTGGCACCACAATTGAGGATGTGCCAAAACAAAAAGTGGCGCAGTGAGGCACATTAGAAGGCGGACCAATGGTAGCTACAGTTTGGCGCGATGGCTTTCCTCACCGGTCGATTCTTGAGTTGCTGACAGCGTCATGCCGTGGACTGCAAACTTCCCCCGGTCTGCATGCGGGGAGTTTAATGATTTGCATGGTAGCCTTGCAAGATAAAATGCTACAAGATCGGGGCAGTATCAGTTTCAGAGCACATGCACGCACAACCTGCCTAGCGGATAGAGGACAAGTTCAGACTCGATCAGGAATGGAGCGACGACGACAATTTTCGGATGCGGACGAGCTCCTGACAGCAGCGCCGACGGGAGCGAGCCGGGAAGAAGAACACCCAATCAGCGCCGACTCGGGCGAAAGCAAGGCCTCAAGGACGCGGTTCATAGCTGTCACTGAGATGATCCAATCATATCGCGCGCATGCCACTGCGACATATTCGGGAAATGCTGAGGCCATGTCTACCATGGTCCTCACTATCATGGAGCTTTGGGTTGAGTGCGACAAATACACCACCAAACACTACCCCTTGCTCCTCGGCTACACCACCGGCTTTACTTCTGGAGTATTCGATTCACTCGTTCTTACCAAGCGAGAGCAGCTTCTTCGCCTGCACTCTGTGGAGTCCTACCTGGAGAGTCGAGCATTGCGTGCTGTGGATGGCTACCCATGGCTTCTTTCGGGGAAATCGCTCGCTGCGAAGTATTACACCTACTCGCACTTCCTTCAGCATCTCCACGAGAAGATCTTATACGAGGCGGACCAGGCCAAGAAGGAAAAGAAAGCCACGATACATCAAAACAAGGAAAAGTACAACGAGTTAATCGCTCAACGAGACGCATCCGATCACAGCAAAAAATCGCTGACAGACCTCTACTCACCGTCAGAACACCCTGCTTGTCTCTCCGAATGTCCCCGATGCAAGATAGACAGAGAGATCAAGGACCTTGGTATAGAGCCATATGAGCACCCTCTTCCTGCTGACGCTCTATCCGCTAAAGCTATTATCTTTGAGGTCACGATTCCCGAGATCATTCGTCGTTGGCGGGATACCACGCTCACTGTCCTCTATGAGATACTAAGTGAGGCTAGTGATATGTCCGCAAAGATATCACGATGTTGCGCTTCTCGCTTCTATCATCCTGAGTACCACCCAACGATTACAAAAGTCCTCAAACAAGAAATAGATGGATGGCGCACATCCTACGAAAGCTATCGCTTTCGGTTTGTATCGACAGATATCCACAACAACGCCACTATTGATATCCACACTGCGAATCCGGAGAATATCCTTACCACGCATAGCCGGCAATACGACCTCTACAAGTGCACCTCCAGCGTCGCCTCTTCGTCAAACACAGTACCAGAGCCGCGTTCAGATCATGCATACCCCCCGCTAACCCTGCGTGAGCCGCTCCGGAGCTGGATTGTTGGGAGCGCACATTTCTCCAACGAAGTCATTGCAAAAGTATCCGAACGCCCCCTGAATATGTCTAGCGAAGAGTTCAAGGCATTCGGCAATCTGAGAGCGGGGCACCATCTCCAATGGTACAACATCTTACAACAGCTATTGGTACCAACTCTTGATTTCAACAAGCCTGAGACATTCTTCCTTATCCTGCAGGCTGCCAACGAAGCTGGTCCAAAGTCCGACGCGGAACCTCTGCGCGAAACACATTTCGTTTTAGAGGACGTTGAGTTTGGGCAGACACTACTCATTGGACTGTGGGACGCACTGCGGCGAGTGTGGGATAACTGGGAAAACGATATTGCTTGTTCCATTCTTGCTAGTATCGCGACACGCATTTTATCTCTCGCTTGCGATCGCAATGTGCACAAGCAGTGCTTGATGTATCTCAAGGAGATCCGGGATCGGTCCATCGAATGGTGTCGAACTCTCCGCGCGAAACTGAAGGAAACCTGCGCAAGAAACGAAAGAGCCAATATGGGCAGACGAATTCTCATAATTGCCTTGCTGTGTCATGGAACTTTCGAAGTCGGCGCATCACATCTTCCGTCAATACTGTCGTGCAACTCCGAAGCTTCTATAATGATTGAATCATCCATGATCATAGCTGAACATCTCGCTCATGGCGGAGATGCAGTCTACATAAAAGAGAAGGCTGAGCCTGATGACGAACCCGGAGCGAACGAAAAGCACAGAAAGACAGAGAAAATATATCAAACCGCGGGAGAGAAAAAGCGACTCGAAAAAGAGCAAGCGTGTAACTTCAATTGCTTCTTAAAGATTCTCATCTACCGGTGGCGCCATGCCTCGTACAAAGCCGAGCCACTGCTTCGAGACTCTATCACCAACAACCCAGCAAATTGCCTTGATATTGTGATAAATAAAACCTTCCCTGCACATGAGGGCGCCAGCATCTCATGGACCTGTAGACCAGGGCAGCATCAACACGTGTTGGTGGCGAATACGGAGGCCTCCGAACGTCGCTTGTCACTGCATCTTCAGTACAACGTATTGACTAGTGTTTTTCTGGTCAACGGGCAAACCCCCTCTGGCTTGCCACCCGAATACATAGCGCACTCGACTTACCAACGGCTCTTTGGGGACCAGCTATTCCAAGCTGCACCTAGCAGCCAATCGCGAATGTCATTTCAATGCACCCACAGCGAAGCTGGATATGAGATTCATTTGGGCTTGGTCAGTGGCGAGCTCATTGTACGGATGAGAGATACAAAGATCTCGGGGAACAGATATCATGAGCTGATTCCACCATCAAAGCTGCAAGGACACATACCAAATTTACTAGTGTCGGAGTACACTCATTGGTATGTCGTCGGTGAGAGTTTGATTGAGTTTCGCCTTCCCAGAGATATCTGGTCCCCATTTGATAAGGATCGTGGCATTGCCTTTCATATCGATGAACAAGGCTCTGTATACTTGATTAAGGGTAGCTCCAAGGCTATGGTCGGGCTTGAGTCGCAGACTGCAAGAGCCCTCTCTGCAATATTCCGACCCATAGAGCGTCCTGAATACATCCACTTGACGTACGATAGACCAAACTCGACGCTCGAAATTGATCTGCCTCGTTATGGAACGAGCTTTAGTCTACATAAGAAAGAGAGCACCATCCATTCCAAGTCGTACAGAGGAATGGCAATTGATCCAGACCAATCTCTCGGAGCACTTCACGGTCTGAGTAGCAAACTGGTTCTTTTCTCAACAGATGACCATCAAAATGGTCTGGTTTCACGGGCAACAATGATTCCAGAGGGGGAGCTCTATACATCGCGAGAGCATGAGGGATACGGTTCGGCGTGGTTGAGCTCTTCTGAGCCCGGCGGTCATAACAGTATTTCTTACCACTACTATCACATTGACGAGGGTCTGGGACTGCTTCGGGGATCTGGAACCCTGAGAAGCGAACTCTGGCTATGCTATGTGTATGCGTTTACTTCTCATTTTCTCCCTGATCCGTTGACAGAATGCACGGGTACGGAAAGCGCGCTACGAATCCTAAACTCGAAACTTGTCCAATCTCTCATCTTGTCTGAACCCCTGAAAAAAGAGGACGAACTGAAGCTTCTCGGAAGAATCTCGAAAATCAGCCCATCTCGGTCACTTTCGTACTTTTCGTCAGGCCGCATACAGAGCGCTCGTTGGTCGGATTTCTCGCCTCTCGCGCAGACAGACGCTTTTTATCAAGACGTACAACTCAGTCTAAAGAAGGTTCACGATTTCGAAATTATTTTCCACGGACGCCGCGAGAATCAAAATTCGGTCACGGATCCGAGCGATAGACTTCACAGCTGGCATAGGACTCGACTCTCGCCGTACGAACGGCCCGGATACGAGGCAAGATCGCCATCTACGATTACCGAATACGTCTATAGCAGCCGCCAATCTTCCAAGACTTTAGAAGCTGAAAGAAACACCTGCATTCTTGCCAAACTTTTAAATCCGCTTGCCGGTGTGTTGACGGAAGAAATACTGTCTTCAAAACGTTTGATTCGACGCGTGTCCACCAGCCTTGGGTGCGCAATTCCCGAATGGCACTGGCAAACTGGCAACAATCCTGGACTGCGCGATAATTTGGATAGGTCAGATAACTCTATCGAACTGCCACCGCGGTTCGACGTGCGCTGGCTAGGTCAGGACCCCGTCACTATCAGGCGTTCTTTGGCCACCGTGCACACACAACTTTGTCAGATGGACGCACGAGGAAGTGATTGCGATGTATACGAGCTGACCATGTTCTTTGCGGCGCTAGTCTTTGCCAAAAATGAAGACGACCAAATCATCCAGGCCTTGTTACTTTTTGCCATGTCTCTGCCACCAACTTCTGGGAATAAGCGGCTGAAGCCGCAAAAGGAGTATCAGCAAAGCCTCAGGCAACATAGGTCTTCACTGCAACTTTCCGGAAGATCCAAGCACCGCCTTTCTGAACCCCATACTGCCAAACCTGACGTGCTAAACCTGATTGACAGAACAGTGTTTGACGAAAGGCAAATCGAAGCTCTTGCGGAAAAGTATGCTCCGGATATATCTCCTTGGGACTGGTATGAGTACGAGCGGAGGAGGCAAGAACGATCCAGAGATGTTCAAGCGCTCGTTCGTGCCACAAGAGCTCATTGGGATACCGGGAGTACCAAGGACCCGATCTACAAAATCGATTCAAGGGGCTTCCTGCTTGCTACATTCACCAACGAGATACGGGTGCTACTCCGTTCGTGGCGGCGGAACGAAAAGCATATGCAGCACCTCCGAACCGTTATTGAGGAAGCCGCACCATTTGAGATCCTCGGTGCAGATGACGTTAGAGATGACCCAAAACGAGAAATCTTCTGGGAGCCTCCATCGAACTCCTGCAACGAAATGTCACTTCAATATCTTTTCAAGCGTCTTCCTGCTCCAGACATAAAAGCGCCCCCGCCTCGTGCCTTCCCAGAATACTTAAGGCTAGCTTCATTGGATATGAGCGCTGTGGTAATAGAGCCGGAGATGAGTGAGCTGCTCAAGGTCCTGAAATCGCTTCCTGAAACTGGTGAGCAGCGGAAACAGTATATCACGGATCTAGGTAAGAGCCGGGATGCTCTTGGGACCACGACCGAGATTCGCTCCTCAATAGCAGCATCTGAAGTGTGCAATCAGTTGCTGAAGGCCCTACAAGCCTTGGAAATTTATCTCCAGGAGTGTCGCCAATCAGTCCAGGACATGAAAAATCAGATGATTGCTGCCCTCACACAGCTGCCTGGACTGGAAGGATATGAAACAGGCTGGTACAGTCTTTGGCCGAGAATCACACCTCTTGTTTTTCTTGAGCAGCTATCGGGAATACATTGGAACAAGCTGAGTGAGTGTTCGCAGGATTGGCAGCGCTGCCTGGTCGAGTACGCGAAGGCGTGGACTGTGCTCCAACGAGCGGAGCGACTGGTTCGAACTGCTAGCAAAGGCAGCGGGAATATTTTAGACCTGGTGAACGAAATGAAGCACACTGGCCACGAGAACTGGGACCCGATGCAATTCCCCGAACAGCTGCTCTTCGAAGTTGAAAACGGCATTCTGATCCGGCCTGGCCAGCATACTATTGCTGAGCACATGCGTGTGCGCCAGGGTGGCAATTCTGTCTTACAACTTAACATGGGCGAGGGAAAGTCATCTGTCATTGTACCAGTCGTCGCTGCCTCGCTCGCAGAGGCCCCGCGGCTCGTCCGGGTCATTGTCACCAAGGCCCAGTTTCAGCAGATGCGACACCGCCTCAGTACGAGCCTCGGCCGTTTTCAGCATCGCCAAGTGTACACTCTCCCATTCTCGCGCAGAATCGGCCTCGATGAGTCTCGCAGTCGGCTTGTCAAGGCCATGTGCCAGGAGTGCGGAACCAATGGCGGTATCTTGCTTATGCAGCTCGACCACGTCTTGTCACTCAAGCTTCTTGGCCTTGATAAAATCATATCAGGTAGCCAGGCCACGGGCAATATACTGACAAACACCGAGTTTGCCTTTGAGCGCTACGTCCGAGACATTGTTGACGAGAGCGACGACATCTTCAACGCTAAGCTTGAGCTGACGTACACAATGGGGCAGCAAGTAGCCCTCGGGTTTAGTCCACAACGGTGGCGGTTAACCCAAGCCGCTCTAGAGGCTGTCTTTGAAACGCTTCCCGACGTGAAGCGTGAGTTCCCCGATGGCTTGCTCATGGAGCCCAGTAGTTATGTTGGCGGCATGCCCCGAGTTAGGATACTGAGGACAACCGCCACACGACGATTACTCGAAGAGACCACACGCAGATTGCTGCAAAAGGGCCAAGAAGGATTGTCCGTGCTGTCTTTGGATCCAGACCATCAGGAAGCCATAATGCGCTATATCATCGAATTGTTTCCAAGCCCTGGCGACATTGAAATCACTGAGAAGTTGTTCGCAACCGCGACAGAGCGACAGCCACTGCTGGTTCTTAGGGGGCTAATGGCAAATGGAGTACTCGAGTTTACTCTACACCGCAAGCGGTGGAGAGTCCACTATGGTCGTGACTACGAGCGAGAAAACGGAATACCAGGGCTCGCAGTCCCCTATTGGGCCAAAGACTCGCCGGTACCAAACGCCGAGTTCAGCCACCCCGAAGTGTACATCATCCTAACATGTTTAAGCTATTACTACCAAGGCTTGAGTGACGATGAACTTTTCGATCTATTCGATCACCTGCGCGCCGCGGACAATGGCGAGGTCGAATATGAGCAATGGACAGTGCTGGACGGCAACCTGCCTAAAGTGCTGTCCGGGGTCAATACCAAGAACCAAACACATTGCAAAGAGCAGGTCTTCAGTCGCCTGCGAAACTTCAAGCCTGTGATTGACTCTTATCTTTCCAACGTACTCTTTCCGAGGAAGACGGCGGAATATCAAATGAAGCTATCGGCATCCGGATGGGATCTGGTAGGCGAGCGGATGCATCCCATCATTGGGTTCAGTGGCACCAACGACTCGAAAGTCTTGCTTCCGTACTCCATTCATCAGCATGATCTGAAAGAGCAAAAGCATACGAATGCCGCGGTGCTAAATCTCCTCCTACGAGGAGACAACGGCATACAGACCCTCGGCCATGATAGCGCCAGCGAAGAATCTAACTCGTACACCCAACGTTTGTTGAAGAAAGTCATAGAGTCAAAGTCTCCAGTACAAGTGATTATAGACGTGGGGGCCCAGTTCATCGAACATGGAAACTTGGACGTCGCTAGGCTTTGGCTAGCCATGGACCCTACCGCCACGGCGAAAGCGGTGATCACGTTTGACGAGAGGGATGAACTTGTGGTTGTTACGAGAGACACGCCAGTAGAGCTACTTGCGTCGTCGCCTTATTTTAGTAATATGCATTCCTGCTACGTGTTCCTAGACGAGATGCACACGCGCGGCACTGATCTTGTTCTTCCCGAAGATTATCGCGCTGCTGTTATGTTGGGGCCTGAAGTCACTAAGGACAAGCTCGTGCAAGGTAGGTCTAACCTTATTCTAATTCCTCCTCCCACCTAAGATTAGAGACTAAGACGGCTTCTGCAGCGTGTATGAGAATGAGAAAGCTGGGTAAAGGCCAGACACTTAGCTTCTACGTTCCGGAGGAAGTCGAGCTGACCATCAGACGAATATGCAATATCAGCCCGGAAAATCCGATCAGAAAGGTGGATATGATTCGCTGGGCAATCTGGGAAACATGGCGTGAGTGTGAGAAGCTAATACCGCTGTGGGCTTCACAAGGAATCCGGCATTGGAAACAGCAAACGATTTGGAAAATGGCCAAGACGCAGAAGAACCGGCGTATCGACATGAGGCTTGAGTGGGCTGAGAGGTATCTGGAGCCTGAAGCACAGACGCTTGAGCAGTGCTACCGTCCCCGCTCTGAAAACCCAGGTAGTATATGGCCTGATGAGACGTCCGGAATTCCAGAGAATGGCGATCAGAAACTAAAGTTCATCCGGCAGACATGCGAGAAGTTCCGCGTCGTGGGTCTGGAAGCGGAACTGCTCATTGAAGAGTATGACCGACAGGTCGTACGCGAAGTCCAGCAGGAGCGGCAGGTCGCACGCGAGGTTCAGCAGATCTCAGAGTTCCAGAAGCCCCCTACTTTAACACCACATCAGCCAACTGCGGATCTAGAAGTGGCGAACTTTTTGCGAACGGGAAAGATCAAGGAGGATTCAGAAGCCTTCCTTCCAGCATTTGAAGCTTTCCGTCACAGCTCAGCGGCCCAGCTAATCGATCTGAGCGAATTTCCCAACACACTGCTTGCGACGCGCGACTTCATCGAAACAGTGGAGCGCGAGGCGAGCGACCACGTCGCGGACCAGCATTTCCGCCCAGTCCAATGGGTCGTCAGTCGAGCTATCGACGGAAAATCCGGTGACGATTATGTGAATCAGCTTATTCTGATAAGTTCCTGGGAAGCAAACAATTTCCTCGGTTTGCTGCGTGAGACCAACAAGGTTGTCTTTCACCTGTACGCACCCCGAACGAACCTATCACACCGCTCGCTCTCGGACCTCACCTTGTTTACAATACCGGCACTGCCACAAGGCTGGACAGTCCCTAGGAGCCTAGTGCTCTTCCTGAATCTGTTCGCGGGACAGTTGTTTCTCGATTCACATGCTGAGTACATCCAGCTTTACGACTTTTTGACGACTTCGCTCATGTCTAGCCCGTGGAAAGATAGCAAGGGCGAGAAAGCTGCTGTGAATGGACCGCGCAGCATAAATACGAAGACGAGATCGACTTTGGCGTTCAAAACAAAAACTGCGTTCTTCAAGCACGTAATGACCAAAATCTGTCGTGATAGCGCGGATATCAGGATGACAGACATGGGTCGCATATGCGCTGGACTCCCCCTATCTGAGGACGCGTTTGGCGGGCGAGATATGCCTTACGCTCAGATTCAGCCCAGCCAAGCGAATGCACTCCCCGTGACGGAGGTAGAGTTGCAAAGAAGCATAACAAGGAAGATTCTGGCTTTCAACGACATCTTTGAGAAGAAGTACTCAGAGTTTCCCCAACGCGCGCCTGAGGAAGCGCCAACCTCAGAGCGGGACCAAGGCAGAGTAGAGAACCTCGACCCACCAATAGTCAGGCCCTTCGACGGCCTTTTTAAATCCCAACTAGTTTCTCTGCTGAAAAATCATGCGAGAGATGCGGCTCGTGGTCGACGTCGTGGGAATATCATCACGTTACTTGACGATGAGTACCTTCTGGGCGAGGTTGGGTTCCCCACTGATTGTCCTATCCCGAATTTTGCGATGAAAACTTGCTCTGTGTGCAAAACGGATCGGTTCAAAACTTCTATGGGCGCAGATGATGGAGTTTATTGGCGTATTCCTCTAGCGGATCTAATCAGCTCCAAGGGCCGATGCGAGTCGTGTGGGATGTTGTCGAATGCAGTGGAGTACATGAAAGATGAAGTGAGAAGGGTGAAGAAAATCCAGCAGGGGAAAAAGATCAAGAAGATATTAGACGAAAAAATGGAAAAGTTGCTCAAGGAAACGGTGAAAGATATTTTGGACGAAGGGCTGAAATCAGCGGAGGAAGCAAAGCTGAAGAAGAGCATGGACGAAGAGTTTGAAATCAGGGTGGAAAAGGCTTGCGAGAAGGCACACCGAAACGCATCTGCCCTTGTGGTACACTACAAGAGGCCCGAGAATCGATTGCTCCTGATGCTCAGTGATTGCAATCTAAAGGAGACCATATCGTTTCCGTTCGAGGTCTACCGTCTTCCAACCGAAGTGATTGGTAATATGCATCCACCAGGAAGCCAGCAGAGACAACCACTGACGCCTTCGTGCTAGATTATCCCAATGTAATCGACCGTGGCGTCCCCTGGATAGGAATCAGGCAGAGCAGTCACATGGTCGGGAACCAAAACGTGGATGCAGCCGTTGCATGGGTGCAGTCGCACATAAAAGCGTGCGATGAAAAGCACGGCTGCATCGCGACAGCTGCTAATTCTGATCCATTTCTGCCAACACGCGTTCTGGATCTGGGCGATCGAAACCCTGTTATCCGACTGTGCGAGACTGGGGGGACGCAGAGAGACCGCTATGCGACGCTGAGTCACTGCTGGGGTCGCAGCCATCACCTTGTGACTTTGCGGAGTAACAAAGAAGACTTGATGAGAAAGATTAAGCACGATGAGCTCCCAAAGACCTACAGCGATGCTATCCTCTTGACGCGGGCGCTGAACATCCGCTATCTGTGGATTGACTCGCTTTGCATTGTACAAGACGATAAGGAGGACTGGCGCGCTGAGGCGGCGCGCATGGGCGATGTTTACCGCTACAGCCATGTGACCATTGCGGCCACTGCGGGTGAAGATGGTAACGCAGGCTTGTTTGACAACCAAGGCAAAAATGCTGCTAAAGTCAGATGCAAAGAGCTAGAACGCAGGCTGGAAGGTGACGGAGGAAAGACTCGGAATGCGGTTCGGGGCATGAACGTAGAAGAAGGGGAGGATGCTGGGAAGCAAGTCGGCCATGGTAGCACTGCATCTCAATCCAAGGCTGGAGTCCGAGGGAAACCGGGTGGGAGATGCTCGAATGGAAAGATCAAGGGTGGCAGATTAGACAAGGATTCGGGGAAATGTAGGCAAAAGGTGGAACAAAAAGATGAACAAGGGACACCAAAGGACCGCATCTTCGTGCGTCGCCAAGCTCGCCACGACGCTTTCTCTCGCTTTGATCCGTCGGGCCCACCCTTGTTGACTCGCGCCTGGGTATACCAGGAACGCGTCTTGTCGACTCGAGTGCTGCACTTCGACGCCGACGAGCTGCTGTGGGAGTGTTCCGAAACATTTGCTTGCGAATGCGGTGCGGTCGAAGCGCGTAACACGAAGCGCGCCACGGTGAAAAAAGGTCGACCGGAGAGCGGCGGCCCGGTTACTGAGTGGCTCGATACATACCAGTGGGTAGACAGCAAACGTAGTCACGACACAATACGAGAGCATCCGCGCCTCCTCCGCGAACGCTTCCGTGGCGTTGTCTCCGACTACGGTCGCCTGAGGCTGACCAAGGAGTGCGACCGCCTTCCCGCGCTAGCTGGCATCGCGCGGGATTTCCGTGGTTACAGTCGCGGCCGCTATTTGGCCGGCCTGTGGGAAGACACGCTGTGGACAGACCTACAGTGGGAGACAGGTACGCCTGCTCCGACCGAAGATACAAGAGTATCCCACGCGCCGACATGGTCGTGGGCTGCCGCGGCTGAACCCTTCTACGACTGGTTGGATCCTCTTGGTGCGCCCTGCATCGATGGCCAGCTGGTTGTGGCGGCCGAGGTGGAATCACTGGGGCCTGACGAGTTTGGTGTGTGCGAGCGCGGGTTCGTTGTGCTGCGCGGGTCTCTGCGAGATGTTCGTCTGCAGACGCGGGCGAGAAATACCAGGGAGGGGAAATTAGTGAATCGACACGTTTCCGTGGTGGGAGAGATGGGTCCGCACGCGAGAGTGAGCCTAGACTTCACGCCAGGATGGGATAAGGACGAGGAACTGCAGGGAGCGACTGCGTTGCTACAAGAGCAGCTTAGAACCGCCACCGTCGAAAAAGCGCACCGAGAACAGGAAGAGAAACAGAAACGGGAACAGACTCGGACGCAGAAGGAGCGAGACAATAAGACGGAACCCCGAGACGACGACATCACCACAGTCGTCATCGGCGAGTCCCCACGCCTCTACCAGTGCTTCTACCTTACGCAGCGCGCTGCTCTGCTCCTGCGCCGAACCGCGCCAGGAATTTCCGTGTACCACCGCGTAGGGATCATCTTCGACTTTCAGACGCTCGGTCCGGAAAATGGGTCTCGGAGTATGAAGATAGTGAAGATAGTGTAACAAGGGGAATGCGATGGAAGGTGCGTAAAACGCGTTCTTGGAACTGGGAGTGCGAATTCCTCACTGATGGCGATAAGGCCTAGGTACCTGTCCGGACCAGAATTATACTTGTCAGATGTTATCCAACCAATGGGGCTATCGCATCCTCTACTTCTCGAGATGCTTAGACCCAGTCTGTCGTTTTCGAAGTATCACCAGAAACTGGCAGGTATAGGCCACGAAGGGATTGCTTGTGTTCGGTCATCGTTGTGGAAATCTGACGAGATTGGAAGCGGGTAGTTGAACGCAACGGCTCTGTCACGGCAATGGCGCCTTAAAAATGCCACTGGAACTACTAGCCCAACGGAGAACGTGGTTGATCAGAAATAACAGGCTTCCCTAAAACGCGGGCAATGCTATCCTCGCTAATAGTTATGCGTTGAAGACAGCTCGGATACCGCCGCTTTGGTGAGTGCTTGTCCTCGTTTCTAGTGAACGGTTTGCAGCATTGAATATTCTGATCGATATATTCTGTAATTGCGTCACGAAGTATCCAACTCGCCACCGCTCCTCCTTTTTTCCCATTGGTAGGCCCCTGGCGTTTTGGGTGATGTCACACAATAGAGTACGGATGTTCCTCTGCAAAGTGGTAGAAGTAAACGCCAACTTGTGCACGGAGCAGGCTCGTGCACGAAAATCAAAAATCACGAAGCCTTAATTTATAACCTAGGGACAGATTTAAGGCCCCTTACTAAAACTTAATAGTTTCTAGCGAGGTCTATCTAAGACTATGCCGCAGCTAGTAGGGAAGGTTAAGCAAGGGTAAGCAAGAGTGAGTAGACCTGAGGAGAGCTGAACCGAAGCTGAGCCGGGCCTGAGCCGAACTCAGCCACAGCGGCGCTGGGTCACGTGCGCACAGGGGGTCGGGTAGGGTGCACATTGGGGTGTTGAAACAGGCAGTACGAAACCCCAATATGCACCCAAGCAATTTCCTTTCCCGTTCAGGAAACTGAGCTGCTCATGCTCCAGCCTGAGCTGTAGCTGTGCTGGGCTGGGCGCATCCTGAGTGGGGACTGAGCAGCTTTGCTGGAACCCAGTTCTGGGCCCTGTATTCGAAAGGAGGGCGTTGAGACTAGGGTTATTACCCTGCCTCGGAGGGACTATTTCTGAACCCGTAGGCCTCCTAGGCTCCAGTTTCAGGCCCCTAAATCTCGAGTAAACTTACCCTCTGATATGTCACGGCCTAAGGTTGGTCTGCGCTGCTTTATTATCTATGCAAAGGTATGGCTATGAGTGGCTAATAGGTTCTAATGTTATCTGAAGCTAGAATCTGTATTATTATTAAGGCGTACTATTTAGAGGCAAATAATATAGAAACTTCATAAGACAGTGAGGCATAGTGACTTCTGATTATAAAAGCATATCTTGAGAATATAACTGTTACAAGACGGGTCGATCTTAAGGGCGTAACTGTCTAGAGAACGTCCTCGTCTTGAGATGCCACCGTCTTAAGACTTTAGCTGTCGTACGACCATGGCTGTCTTAAGAACATACTATCTTAAGAATATGCCGTCTTAGGAATACGCCTGTCTGCAGAATAGTGTTACGAACATGGAAATAATATAGCAATTTGAGCCTTTTATAAAGACTTTATGCACTGGGCTTTCAATGGTCGGGGTCGTAGGTTGTATCGTGTTTGTTTACATTGGGACTCGGCGGGAGGTTGAATGGCTTCGTACTTGGCAAGCAGCTCAGGCAGCGATAGAAGCGGCGGTAAAGACGGTGGTGGAGCCTTCTTGCCCTTCTTACATTTCTTACCCTCCTGCTTTTCTTTGGGTATCTTAAGGGGTGAAGACGGCGGTGAAATGACTTCGCACTTGATAGGTGGCGTAAGCGGCGGCGGAGGCGGCAGTTGAGACGGCGGTGAAGTATCTTTACCCTTCTTACCCTTCTTTTCTTTCGGTTTCT